TGCATGCCATGTCATGGCGGCAGTGGTGTTGATGACAAAGACAGGGACTGCTCTGTCAAGACGCAAGACCTGGCTGAGGTGCCCTCATAATGCCAACGGCTACAGCGACACTTGCCGAGGCGTGGATAGCCAGCGGGCACAAAATCCTAGTAGCTGGGTTAGCAGCTTTTGATAATTGCACAACCAACGACAAGGGAAGGTGCAACAGCAAAAACACGACGAAGACCACGATGACGACGACGACGGCCGTGACGACGAAACCGACACGACCACCAAGACCATCAGCACGGCCACGGATGCAGCAGCAACAACAACAGCAACAGCAACAACCACAACCACAACACGAGAAACTTCAATGTCAAAGACCAAAGAGCAAGAACAAGAGCACCATGCTTGTCGTTCTGCTTGCCGACTTGACCTTTTCCTTGTCAGCGACACAAACTTGATGCCTATGCTTTGAGCTGACAACGTACGCACCTTGCCAGTTGCGCAGGTGCTGAAAAAGAGCTTCGGATGTCATTTCAGATCGCCATTCCTGCAGCTGGTGATAGTCCCTACTCGCTTGCTCGGCAGTCGACCTCAGAGGACCTACGCAGCATGAGGTACCGACGTTCATCCGCGCTGTGAAGCCGCGTGTCTGTCGTCGGACACCTTTGGGGCAAGGGGCGGCCAGGCCGAAAACATCTTCTCCGTTCTCCTTGCCTCGCACTTGGAAGTATGCCGGCGCACGAAAGCTTTTCAAGCTGCGCTCGATGGTGCCGTGATCTGCATTTCCGAATACATGCGGGTTCCTCCGCACATGTTCCAACAGCTGTCTGTATGTGGCCCTTCCACCGAGTTCCTGCATTGCTGTCAGCATGGCCGTCTTCTTCACACCGTTGCCAACCCAATTGGACTCTGTGCACCTCGGCTTCCTGCGACGCACTGGCAGCCCGTCGAACTCATCCGCACTTTGCAGCAAAAGCTGCACTTCTCTTTGGATGGCTAGCCACGCGGTGGCAGCTGCTGCGAAGCAGAGCTGGTTCGCTTTCTCCTCGAAGCATTGAATCTGCCTCTTCACATGCTCCAAGAGGTGACGGATGGACCCGCAATCAAATTGATTTGTGCGCCAGGCCCGCAAGACCTTAAGCAGCAACTTCCGAGCGCGGCGCTGCAGCCCACCGCAAGGGTCAGAAGTATCAAGGCCACTCTCTTGCAGATCCTGCTCGGTCTTGTTGTCTTGGGGATCAAGTTGCCACGTGGCTTTGCGAGGAGGGGCCAAGGCAGCGGCCACCTGGTGCAAGACCTCGGAGAGCCTTCCCTGAACCATATCCTGCTCGGAAAGGACCACAGCCTCTGCGCGGAGCAGGCACTCCGCTCGCTCCGTGGGACGCATGTTCGTCCACTCAGCCTTCTTTCTGAAAAGCTGCTGCAAGTTATCGGGGGCTGGATGCAGATGGCTCTGTGTTGTCTCTGCACCTCTCGGGGCAGTCTGCTGGTGGCCTTGGCTTTCATCTTGGTCCATAGGCTGAGCTGTGGATTCCTTGGCTGAGCTGCGGAGTTCATCCCCCGGTCGCCGGCCATCTGCCCGTCCCTGCCGGCAGCACCGGAACTTCTTCAGCTTCCTCATCAGAGCATCCGCAGCCTGCGCCCAGGTTTCGTCGGCTCGCGGAGCTCCGGGCGACTGCAACACTGTCAGCACATCTGGCAGCACCTGCTGCAAGCGTGCAGGAAGGATGCCGCTTCCGAGCCTGTCCAGAAACTTGCTTAGCAGCCGAAGTTCGGCCTCATTCGGAGAATAGCCTTGGGGGCCATAGGCTAGCCATCCAGCCACATGGGCGGCATGCTGCTGCGCCGCAGCTTTGTCGAAGCCACGCAGGGCTAGGAAATATTTCCGCACCACATGCTGCCGCTGCCTCTTTGAGTGGAATTTGTCAGCATGGCGATGCAACCGTTCTGTCATGATGCAAAAAAGAACAGCTGAGACTGAAATACTGTTTCTGCTGAAGAAATGAAGTGCTGTTTCCATGCTTCTGCTTTGGTGCGCGGAATAAAGTTTCTTGTAGGCTTACAATGGGAGGACTGGAGGATATCGAATGCTTTTCAACACCAACACCCCCGAGCTGTGTCCTCTGGGACCTCATTGTGCGCTTCAGGCTGCATGCAAAGCTCGTTCCAGGCCGCTGAAGCCCTCTCACTCCGCAGGACCAGTGAGGACTCTACACCCTAAACCCTAAAACCCTAGAACCTAAAACCTAAACCCCAAACCCTAAACCCTAAAACCCTAAACCCTAAACCAAAGCCACAGCCCGCAGCCCTTGCCATCCCTTTGCGCAGATTCCTCTTTTCTTAGAGAAGCTTCCATACATCGCGCAGGCAGGATACTTGGAGGATCATGGGACTTAGTAAGTAAGGTTATAAGTACCTTAATTGGGGTTATAAGTATAGTTACCCTCATTATAACCCTAGTTACTAAGTCCTATGACCCTTTAAGTAACATCACATATTTGCTTTTTGCCACCCACCTGGCCAGCACGAACCTACGACGCAGGGTCTGTTATCACACATTCTTGAGGTTTAAGGCTTACCCGTCCCATACAGCATGGAGATCCGAATCCCGGATATAAGGCCGGCGCCATGCCGACATCGCGGGCCCAGGCAACTTTGGCCATGCCTGCTGGGAGGCCCAAAGGCAACTCTTCATGGAAAACCGAGGGGCCTGAATAATTAGAAAAGATTCCTTTAAAGGATCTAAGCCCTGAACCCTGAACCCAACCCTAAGCCTTTTCTGTACAGACCCTAATTAAGCCTAAACCCTTTTCCCTAAACCAACGCCCTTAACAATCCTAAACCCTAAGCCCTAAACAACCCTGAGCCCTAAGCCGTAGGACTTTTGCTGCAGGCTTGCACGCAACGACGCCTGGTAGTTTGCCACTCTTCCGCCAGTTAGGACTGTAAGCCCTGACCCTAAACCCAAAGCTCTGGAGCCAGATGAACCATGGATGGCCTGGGTATGCGGAGCTGAACTTCACACACTCCTCCTCCTCGCGCCACATGGCACTGTTTGAGTTTAGGGTTTACGGTTGTTGGGCTGGCTTTGTTTAGCAGGGGTTGAAGGCGTTCTAGAGTTTGGGGCTTGGGACTTGCTTCTTTTGGGATCTTGTCGCCGCTCGCCTACCTAGGACGATGAGAGCTTTTGTGACTTACGATGGGGTTCACAAAGCCCTTGTGTTTTGCTCGACGCTTTTGGCAAGGTGTGCAAGCTCCGGCTCTGCTACAAGGAGGGGTTCTTGAGTTCAGGGTTTAGGCCTTGAAATCCATGCTTCAAAAGGGAAACTTGATTTGGAGCAGCCAGCACTGCCAGCACACCGAATTCGACAAGCGTTACAGGTCAAGGCTTCATGAAGAAGCCCCAGATCCTGTAAACAGGGCTTTGGGAATGCAGTCGCCTTTCAAGAAACTGTTTTCGAACTCTGTATTGAAGACATGGGGGGGAACCCTGCACGACCCTGTAACAGCCCTCCTGACACCCGTAAGGTCCTATGCCGAATCTCAAGAAGTCCGGGTGCCCGGCTTGAGGAAAGCATGGCCGCGGGCAGTCGTGCATGCCGGCGTTGTGGAAGTAGGCCTCTTGCAGAAAACTTCGCAGTGCGAATGGTCAGCACGACATAAAATGGGAGTTTTCGAAAACAGAGAACCCTGAGAAAGCACCCTAAATAGTAGGATCCTTATTATAAGGACCCAGGGACCCCTAATTTTTCGGAAACTCCCATATTGGAGTGGCAGCAGCTGCTACAGAACGCGTGTGATAAGAGAAGAGGATGCAGGCGGACAAACGACAAAAAACAGCAGCTGGAATAACCGAAGCAACAGTGTAGGTGGTGGCACTAACGGAAGAAACGACGATGGTGCTGCTGCTGGTGGTGGTGGTGGTGGTGGTGCTGCTGCTGCTGGTGCTGCTGGTGCTGCTGGTGCTGCTGGTGCTGCTGCTGCTGGTGGTGCTGGTGGTGCTGGTGGTCTGGTGGTGCTGGTGGTGCTGGTGGTGCTGGTGGTGCTGGTGGTGCTGGTGGTGCTGGTGGTGCTGGTGGTGCTGGTGGTGCTGGTGGTGCTGGAGGTGCTGGTGGTGCTGGTGCTGGTGCTGGTGGTGCTGGGGGTGCTGGGGGTGCTGGTGGTGCTGGTGCTGGTGCTGGTGCTGGTGCTGGTGCTGGTGCTGGTGCTGGTGCTGGTGCTGGTGCTGGTGCTGGTGCTGGTGCTGGTGCTGGTGGTGCTGGTGGTGCTGGTGGTGCTGGTGGTGCTGGTGGTGCTGGTGGTGCTGGTGGTGCTGGTGGTGCTGGTGGTGTTGGTGCTGGTGCTGGTGCTGGTGCTGGTGCTGGTGCTGGTGCTGGTGCTGGTGCTGGTGCTGGTGCTGGTGCTGGTGCTGGTGCTGGTGCTGGTGCTGGTGCTGGTGCTGGTTCTGGTTCTGGTTCTGGTTCTGGTGCTGGCGGCGGTGGATGCGGTGGCTGCGGTGGAGGCGGCGGCGGGGACTAGCGGGAGTGACGGCGCTGGTGGCGGCGGTGGCGGTGGTGGGGGCAAGGTTAAGACGAGCTGGCAAAGGAGCATTTAGAAGCAGAAGCAACAAACAAACAAGCAAAGAAACAAAGAAACAGATAAACAAACAACAACATGCAACATGCAACAAGAATGACAGGCTTCAAGGAAGACCTGACTCATTGCCGTGCTTGGTCCACAGACCCTCTATGCGAAGTCCTGCTCCGGAAGAACCGCCAGAAAATCATGATATTCTAGGATGCCCAGTAACCTAGGAATAAAAAGGGGTACCTTCTTGGTATTGGGTACCTTTATAAGGAACCGAGGACTACAAAAAGGGAATAAGGGTACTACTGGGCATCCTAGTATTTGTTTGGGGTTCGGATTTTTTTCCCAGGCTGTCATGGGGCAGGAGTGTGCGCTTTTGGGTTCAAGGTGGAGAGATGAGGACGTACGGTTTCGGGCCTGTGGGGCTTAGGATACAAGGGCCCAGTGACACCCGTCACAACTCACAACCGACCCCAAACCCTCAACCCCCGTTTGCTACTGCTTCTGGACTCAAGCCTAGCTGGCCTAGCTAGCCAGTAGCAAAAACCCAAAGCCCTGGAAACCTAAGCCAGAGGAGGCCTGGAAGTCAGTGTACGTGGAGTGGATGGTCAGGCCAACATACTTGTTCGGGTGCTTAGCCTGGGTATGGTGCTTCGTGAGCTTCGATTTCGGCAAGACAAAGCCCCTCGCTTGTAGGACGAGTCGCCATGAGCTGTACCCTTCTTGCCGGAGGTTACAGTAACTATGGCTTCCAAGTACACGGCTTTTGGTGCGTGAGTGCCGGTCTGTCTGGGTTGGGACTTCCAAACTTGGAAGCACGAACCTGCGAAAGCCGGTCTCCCGAGAATCCGACCAATGGCACATGAGCTTCTATACTTGGAGGTTCATAGGTAGCTATAAGTGGGGTTATAAGTCCCCTAATATGGGTTATAATATGGGTTATAATTATGGTTGTCTTAATTCTTCATTGTGATCCCACTTATAACTACCCATGAACCTCCAAGTAATCAGCCCCAAACGGCACCGGGGAAAAGGAGGAACGCCGATCTTTTGTCTGAGATCTCGACAAATCCTTCAAGCATGGCTTTCTCCACTTGACGTCCACCTGGCCACGTCATCCCGCGGCGCCCTGGTTCTCTCACCGGGAAGCAACCTGGGGCTGCTGCCGCCCACCTCGACCAAAAACACCCATCCAAATACACACCTATACAGGTTGAAAGCCAATCAGAAACACCAAAGCAATCCTGCAAACCAGAACCTTCCAAAAAGAACACTCGTCGGCATCGCATTCGGTCTGTCCGGGAGCATTGACGCATTGGTGGCCTCTGGCAGGCAGCGCCTGCTCAAGCCGGCCCGAGGTTGCTTGAGGGGTTGGTGGGCGGCGGCAATTAAATCGGGGGGGGGGGGGGGGGGCCGTTTAGGGGTTAGGGAAGTCTAGGGTTCCCAGAGACTCCAATATCCCTTAATTAAGGGGAGGGGTTTGCCGTTTAGGGGTTGTGGCAGTCTGAGGTTCCCAGAGACTCCAACATCCCTTAATTAAGGAATATGCCTTAAATCATATTAGGGATCCTACTATAATTTAAGGAATATTCCTCAATTAAGGGATATTGGAGTCTTTGGGTTTAAGTTTAAGGTTTACACCTAGGGATCAGGGCTAGCGTTCAGGGCTTGACTGTCGCAGGGTAGAATCCAGCATCCCAACTTGTGAAGCTTTGTACGCTGCTTGTTGTGCCAGCTTGGGCACGGTGGTACGCCGGTACGCTTACTATGAGGAGTGGTGTGACTCTTTATGCTGCAAACTCCAGCCACTGAAGGCTTGATGAACGAGGTTGCTATCAATGAGGTACCTATCTAATAGCAAGTCTCGTTGTGATTCGTTGTGCAGGAGTGAGGATCCCGCAAAAAAAAACCTCCTTCAGACAAAGCCAGGCCGTTCCATGTAAGCTCAGCCTAAGCTTTTGGTGCCAGCTGCACACAACACTGAAAAACCATTGGACTAGCAAATGTCGGAGCACATCGGAAGCGTAACCTTGATGTCAAACAAGAATCTTCCAACCCACATCAAAATGCCCAAACCCTACAATTCCAAAAATCCGTACAAAACCCTAGCCCTAGCAATCCTTTGAGCTATCCCGAACAGCCATGGGCAGGCCATAAGCGCGACGAGCGCAACGGAGCATGGCAGGTACATGGCCCTTGCCTCGGCCAGCAGTTGAGTTTAGACAACACCACCCTCACCCTTAAACAAGGTTGACCATTTTCAAACTCATGTTTGGATTTGATTTGTGTGTTTGGACTCATGTCTCTGTTTCGACGCCGGGGTTCAGCCTCGTCATAAAGAGGCCTGAGTATTAAGGCTTCTAATGTAGAAGCCTTGTAGAAGCCCTTATAGTAACCCCTATAGTGTTCCCTTCAAAAGAACCCCATGAAACGCTATTCTGAATCATTAGCATAGGGCTTGAAGGCCTTTTATGGTCTTTTTGTCACTCGTGCTCGAAAGTTCAGACGAGGTCTCGGGCGAGTTACAGTAGAGGGTGTAAAGAGCAAATTGGCGCATGATGATTCAGCGATCCTAGAACATACTTACAGCAGACACCTTTTATGGCACACTTACAATCAGGAGCCCTGGGGAATGAGATTGGTAACGACTTGGGCTTCCATTTTACCTGGGACTGAAATGGTTTAGGGTTTGGGCTCTAGGGTTTTAGGTTTGAGGGTCCAGGGTTTAGGCTTGTAGGGTTTGAGGTTTAAAGTTTAGGGTTTAGGGTGTTAGAGTTTAGGGGCTAGGGTTGACTTGAAAGTCTGGGGTTGAGACTTCAGGGTAGTGTTAGTTCAAGCACTAGGCTTTGGGGCAAGTTCGGGGAGGATGTTTCGTAGGCTTACTTGGAGGTTACTGGGTAGATATACGTGGGGGTATCAGTAGGGTAACCATACAGTTATAACATTATAAAACATATCGGCCAGTTTCGTAGGTTTGCTGAGAGGTTCATGGGTAGCTATAGATATGGGTGGTTGTCAAAATTATGATCCCCTTTTGGGTACCCTAAATATTAGGTGCCGTATTATAATAAGGACCCAAAAAGGGACCCTAATTTTGACAAACACCCATATAGATGGGGTACAAGTAGGGTCCATATTAGGGGACTTATGGCCCCACTTCAATCCACCCTAAAAACCAGCCCCTAAACCCCACAGAACCCTCATAAAGGAACCCTAAACCCCTACTTGGAGGATCATTGGACGTAGTAAGTAAGGTTACAAGTAATTATAACCCTAGTTATTGAAAAAGTCCCATGATCCCTTACGTAAACCCTAAACCCCTCTTTTTATAGAACCCCTGTAGATCCCTTTCAAGGAGAACCCTAAGCCCCTACAACCCCTCTTAGAACTACCCATGAGCCTCCAAGTAGGGTTTTGGGATTCACTACACCCAAGAGTAGCCTAGGAATAAAAAGGGTGCCCTTTTTGGTTTAAAGGGGCTTATAAGGGAACCTGAACCCTTAAAAAAGGGAATAAGGGCCTACTCTAGGTCCTAGTTCAGGGACGTCGGGCTAAGAGCTTTCATACTTAAAGGATCATGGGACTTAGTAACTAGGGTTCGACTTTAAAGGGCTCCTTTAAAGGGGATCTATAGGGGTTCTGTCATAAGAAGGGTTTTAGGGTCTACTTAAAGGATCATGGGACTTAGTAACTAGGGTTATACTTTAAAGGGCTCCTTTAAAGGGGATCTATAAGGGATTCTGTTATAAGAAGGGTTTTAGGGTCTACTTAAAGGATCATGGGACTTCGTAAAAAGGGTTATAATTCGGGTAACTATACTTATACAGGTACTTATAACTATAACCTTACTTACTAAGTCCCGTGATCCTCCAAGTAGTACCCTAAACCCTAAACCCTTATAGATCCCTTTAAGGAAACCTATAGATCCCTTTAAGGAGCCCAATAAGGAACCTTACTTACTAAGTCCCGTGACCCTCCAAGTAGGGTGTTTATGCTTGGGGATCCGAGGCTGCATAGCTTAGGGCTTAAAGTTTTCGGCCTTCTGGTTCAGGGTTGCGTTTTGCATTGCCTGGCTTACTATAGGCTTTACTTACAATATACGATTTACTCAGGGTTTAGGGAAATTTTCTTGCCTGGCATATTATGTTTAGGGTTTAGGTTCATATTCTTGCCTGGCTTCTTATAGGCTTTGCTTGTAAGAACTACTGAACCTAAACCCTGGACGGCTCATTGTTGAAAGCTGGAGCCTATGTCCTCCAGAGGCCTTCAAGCTGGTGCGCAAAGGCCAAGACGCACGCAACTCCCGAGCTCAACACCACACTGGCCCAAACCCTGAACCCCTGAGCAGCAAAACCTCCGGCCACCCGGAACTTCCAATCTAAGGTCCGGGTTCCAGAGTTATCAACCAAAAACTGGGGTCTCAGCGATCATGAATGGCGAACTTGTGCGCTACCCTGTCGTTATCGCTTGGGCCAAGCAGGAACCGCAATCTCAAGTTTGCTGTCTTCTTCTGCAGAGTTACCGGGTAGTTGTTGGCTCGTGTTTTCATTGTTGCCGTTGCCACTGCCATTGCAGCTGTGTTTGGTCATGTTGCTGCTGTGAATTTGATGGTGTTGCGCGGACGGTAGGTTGACGTATGTGGTTTGGTCGGTTCGTCTTCTGCTTCTCAACATTTGTTTTTGCTTCTTCTTTTTCGTTTGATTCTTCTTTCCAGTGCTGTTTCGACGGTGGCGGCCGTGGCGGCACCGGTGACAGTGGTGGCGGCGGCTGCCTTGCTTGTGTTTTGGTTTTGTGCTCTGTGTTGGAGGATTGGGCATCGTGGACTGAAAGTCAATGTGCACAACAAGGCTGCCAAGACGCGAGAACTGCTTCAAAAAAACATGGCAAGCAGTAACTCGCGCATCGGTGCAGAAGTGCTTTCTCCTCTCTGGGGCTTGCCGAACGTCCTGCAGGAATCGGCCTTGCCAATTAGGTCGGGAACTTGTCCGCTCCCTGCCGTGGATGCCTCAGGCGAAACCTACCAATCCCTGCCAAAACTGCGAGAGCCCAGTCTGAAACTACCTGCGCAGACAGGATACAAAAACTGCAACTACGTCGGCGAAAATTCTTGCTCAGACATCCCGAGGTGCTCTATGCAGCTGCTCCCTCGATCTCACTTGCGAGTTCCTATCATAAATCGACCTTTTCTCGAAGGCAGTGGAATGCAAAAACTTGTGGGCTACCAGCACGAGGAACATATCCCTACCTCGAAGGGCGAAGAAGACATTCATACACTGATATATAAGTGCGAACAGACTGGGCCGCTATTTAATAAAGAGGCCTTGAAATTTAGGACTAAGGACAACCAAAATGATGTGGGTAGTTATTTCGGCCCCTACATTCGGTTCCCCATCTGATATCGACCTCAGGGGACCGACCCCTTGGTGCACATACCAGACGCTCCAATATCCCTCAATTAATGAATATACCTCAAATTGTAGTAGGATCCCTAATATGATTTAAGGAATATTCCTTAATTAAGGGGTATTGGAGTCTCTGGGATTGCCGAGCATTTTTTTGGCTCCTCTCGGAGCGTTCGCCTGCTCGTCTCACCTGGCTGCCCGGGGTTTGGGGCTTAGGGTTTAGGGGTTCGTATAGGGTTTAGGGTTTAGGGGTTCGTATATCTAAAGCTCTATACATCTGGGCCTTCTAGCGGCTTGTATTGAGGATGATACGAGTTTTTCTACGGTTTCGACCGTCCACCAGCCACATGCTTCCGATACCTACGCAGGTGAGTCGGGTAGTTCTCCAAATCGGTGCCTCATGCGCTGGCGCCCTTTCTCCACGGCGATGTCCAACCTCACATCACCAGTCCTCCTGCAACCGTCACGGTAACAGGCAACCTGTGGACTTCTCTCAGAGAAGACGACAGGGCGCTGGCAAAACTGCTCTTTCTAGCACCGGCCTTCGGCCGCGGCTGCAAATTCTGAGGCGCACTCCAAGACAACATCTTGCTCATGCTTACGATGCGGCTAGGGTTTTCTTTGAACGAGCCTTTTCCGTCTCGCATGACCCAGAAAGCGGCATAGAGTTTAGTGCTTGGGGTACCTATGGCAGTCGAGGTTCATGAATAAGGCGCACACAAACCCTTGCGTAAGCATGAGTAGGCACCTCGGCCTAGGCAAGCCTTCTCAAAACTTCGGACAACCACAGCGAGCTTCTAAGAGTTGCATTGCTCGCGTTTCAAAGTCACAGCAGCTGAGCTTCATGCTGTTGGGGTGCAATCACTGTGTGTGTAGGGTTATGGGCTGCGCCCGAAAACGTCCGGGCTTGTGATCAAGCTTCGGGGTTGATTTAGCGCCACCAATAGCAAGGGCAGCAGCTGCAATAATCCACCAAAACTGGGCGGGTTACAATGCTCCCGTCCGACAAAATCTCGCCGACCAAGAAGCCTTGCTTTCTGCCGTCGCAAGACCAGCCACCTGAGGCGTCGATGATTGAATACGTGAGCATGGAGCCTGAAACATACATCACGAAGCGGCATTTCTGATGGAACTGTGCCGGGTTAAGGTCTTCTGACTGAGGTTGAGAGTCCTTAGGGGGCACAACATTAAACACACCGAGGCCCCGCCACTTTGAGCACCAAAGCAACAGAAAAGTATGCCTGTCGCAGATACGACTAGCACTACTGTTATTGCTCAGGTCACACGCTTGCTGCCTGCGTGGGCTGCTTAGCGACTCTGACCCTCGCTATGACATCATCCCTACTACTCCTTTTTTTGAGGGGGTATACTGTCGTATAGTCATGATGATGAACCCTATGCCGGCTTCTTACCATGGCTGCATCACTCCGATAAAACGGGCTACCACTGCCGTTCTCGGGGCTGACCGGCATCCTTGTCATTACTCGGTTCAATTCTCTTCGGTGCTCTGGTAGAGCATAACTATTATATTTCTACTATACCTCGCATATCCAGATCCAGTATACCTCATATCCCTCAAACACCTGATATACCTAACATACCTAAAAACCGAAAATATCATATATATATATATAATAGTATATATATATATATATACATAGTCTGATAGCATATCTAATGTATCCACTGTAAAATGTAGTATGTGGCCTCCCCCACCAACGAGCCAATTGTTGTTCGGATAGATGGATGTGGTTGAATCCTGGACAGCTGGGCAGGGTTGGGGTGAACGGCTTAGGGTTGTTTTGGTTTTGGGCTGGAGGTTTCTTTGCTAGGTTCCCTTACCTGTCCAGTATCCTTTGGGCACTAAAGGTTAACCTTGGGGAAACCCTAAACCCAAAGTTATACAGGGATTACAGTAGGCTTCCTGGTCGGACTACGAGGCTAAGTACGGAACCACGAAAGTTTAGTGTCATAAGGTTGGTTTGAGGAAGTTTTCGGAGTGTGGGGGGTGAGGGTTTAGGGGTGTAGGGGTGCTGCTTGAGGGTTGTGTTGCCTTGGGTTTAAGAATTTTCATAATTGTAATTTGGTGTTCTTTTGTTAGTGTTTAGGGGGCAGTTTTGCCTTGGGCTTGGTGTTTAGGGTTGAGTTTCGGGAAACCAAACACAAAGCAGCATGCAGGACTGCCGGGCGAAACTCTATAGTCTACGGGCTTTCTTAAACCTAGGGGTCCTTCTTCCTGAAGTAACTTTGTTGATCCTAAACCCAAAACCTGATCTCACAACCCTAAACCCTGCTCCTGGTCGACGTTGTGCCGGTGCCCCCCAAAGTACTCCACGTGCCTGGCTTTCGGAGTGGGACCAAGATACTGAATCTCCAGTACCCGCCTATGCCTGAAATGCCGATTTTCCACAGGCTTGATTAGTGCTCGCCCGGCCTGAAATGCCTAAACGCCGAAATTCCTGAGCTCTAACTGCCGGAGCACCTGGAAAGGCCACCTGGCCGAGTGCCGTTGCTGAGGTTTCCCAAGACTTCTGGCATCCCCCAGAGGTAATCCTGGAAGGGCGGAACGTCTTACCTTCCTGAACTCGGGTGTATATTTAAAATAGAATTGTTTAACTAGAAGGATATACCGGAACTATGCGGATATGCCGGTACTGCGTGGGGGTTTTGTCGTCACGACTGCTGTGGTGGTTGTGGTTGCTGATGCTGCCGTTGCCATCATTGCTGGAGCTGCTGTTGCTGCCTTTCTTGCTGCTTCTCTTCATGCCGCTGCTGTTCTCCTTGGTGTTGTCGGTGTTGGCGTATTGGCGGTGTTGTGGCTGGTGCTGTTGTTGCTGCTAGTTGGGAGTTTCCGAAAATAGGGGACCCTGAAATAGTACCCTAAATAGTGGGATCCTTATGATAAGGACCCCGAAATAAGGTACCCCTAATTTTCGGAAACTCCCATTATTACTACCAACAAGAGTAGCCCTGCTCAGTTCGACGATTCTACCATCTTCTTGCTTCTGCTGGGGTTTAGACTTACCTTTGGTTAGTAGGGAATGGAGGAATGGGGTACAATTATAACTACTCTTACTACCATTCTTCCATTCCCTACTAAGCAAAGGTAAGGTACTGGTACGACCACGATGACAATCATGGCTACGGCTAGTGACTAGGGCGACAAGGACTACTACCACAGCTCCGGCTACTGCTTCACTGTTCTTTGTCGACTGCTTCTACTGCTACTCCTACTACTACTCTACTACTTCTACTTCGACCTCTACTTCTACTTTTACTGCTACTACTCCTACTACTACTAACACCACTTTTGCTACTACTACTACTACTGCTGCTACTACTACTACTACTACTACTCCTGCTCCTGCTCCATCTCCTACTCCTACTGCCACAGCAACTATTTTTTCTCCGTGTGATTACGAATGCCACGCGTGCTACAGCACTACTACTCGTGCTGACACTGATAGCTGTGCGAGGCTTCCGATGGTAGCACTTGGAGGATCATGGGATTTAGTAAGCAAGGTTCTAAGTACCTTAATTGTGGTTATAAGTCTAATTACCCTAATTATGACCCTAGTTACTCAGTCCCATGATCCTTTACGTAATGTTGCAAATGATTCGCACAACTCACGCGATCTCTTGCTGCGGCGACAGTCATGAGACCTTAAAGCTCCTTACTCAAATTGCCGAACCATGTCTTCCGTAATGATTATAGGGGCCTTAATAATTAGAATAAGGTCTCTTTACGGGTTCCTTTAAAGGGTTCTATACGGAGGTTACTATAGTTACTATGAGGATTTACCCATTGTACTACACTTATAATATTATAACAAGGAACCCTCAAAATAGGCCCCTATAAAAGTCCGCACACCCTGTTCTGCAAGAGCAACAGTCAGGACTCGATTCTCGTGGCTCCAGTAGACTCTAAGTCTGCATCTCGCCGAAGTGGGGTTTTGGCTCCCTTTAAGGGTTTTGTAGGATTTAGGGGTCTTTTAAGGGTTCTATACTTAAGGTTTAGGGTTATAAGTTATAAGTTGCGTTATAAGTCCCCTAGCGTGGGGTATAAGTATGGTAACCCTAAGAATAACCCCACCATGAAGGGTTTCAGAATGTGCACCCCCCCCAACCCAAACTGGGATACTGAAACGTGCCCCTGGTCACAAGCTCTCAAACTCCCGTCCGTGGGGTAGTGCGAGAAGACAAGGAGGTTCGAGGCATTGCTTTTCTCCATCCTCGAAAAAGCGTGCGTTTCAGGGTTTAGGATTTAGGGGTTTAGGGGTTTAGGGTTTAGGGGTTTGGGGTTAGGATTTAGGGATTTAGGGGTTTAGGGTTTAGGGGTTTGGGGTTAGGGTTTAGGGGTTTAGGGGTTTAGGGGTTAGGGGTTTCGGGTTTAGATTTAAGGTTTCTGGAGCCCATATTATTTTCGAACCCAGATTCTGCCGATCAGCTGGAATTCTTGTGCTAAACCCCAAGCCTACGCATCTTACATCGTGAAGCGCTTGAAAGTTCGAACCAGAGCAGCTTACACGAAACTCAAAGCTCCAACTGAAATTCTCGAAACCTTAGGAACCCTAAACTGGAAGAGTTGCACCACTTCAAAACGCTTGAAACTTGAAATAAGACCTGCAGGAGCAAGACTCGTTTACAGGAAGATCTGGGGAATGCCATGCGTGTGTTTCTGGATTTGGCTGGAGCGAATGGGGGTTTCTGGTGTCTGGGATCCCGAGTGACGTTGAAAGTTACATCCTGGACCGCCAAGAGGCCCCAAACCCTAAACCCTATGCCTATACCCTTTTCTACAACTCTCACGAATATTGCCAGCATCAAGAGAAACCCAAAACACTAAACCCGAAATCCTATACCCCACTGTATGGGTTTATAGGGGTTTAGGGTTTAGGGGTTTGGGGTTTAAGGTTTAACTAGGGGTTTTTGGGTTTAAGGGTTTTGGGTTTAGGGTTTAGGGGTTTTGGGTTTCCGACTCACACACTCGTAGGGTTTAGGGGGTTTGAGGCTGAAGGTTGAAAGTTCAGACCTCTGGGGCGAAGCGAGAGGGGCGAAAAACGCCAAACAAAGCCACTTCCAACGCTCTGCGGGTTTCGGAGTTCTTAAAGGATCAGGGGACTTAGTAACTATGGTTATGATTCGGGTAACTATACTTCTAACCCCAATTAAGGTACTTATAACCTTAGTTACTAAGTCCGATGATCCTCCAAGTTTCGGTGATTTCGAACATTGGGGTTTTCGGATTTAGGGCATTTTTTCCCTGCTACCTAGCATGGCGAAGCCCGCATTGGAAGGAATCTTGGTTGAACAGTTGGAAAGCAGCGGATTTAGGGCGTAGGGTTTGTGGTTGAGGGTTTCGGAGTGCACCCAGAGACTCCAATATCCCTTAATTAAGGTATATAACTTAAATCCTATTAGGGATCTACTATAATTTAAGGTGTATTCCGTAATTGAAGGATATTGGAGTCTTTGGGCAGGGCGACAGGCCTCTGGTCAAAGAGCTGAATTGCTGCTTTCGCCCGCTCCTGCACCTTCCAGGTTTAGGGTTTAGGGTTAGGCGTCTTCGGCTTTCAAATCCAAGGCAAGCGGTTCAAGAGCGCTTCGGCTTCTAGCACACGGACGGTGACTGCGCATGAAATCAACCCCAACATTAAACCCTAAGCCAAACCCCTTAAAGCAAGCCTTATAGCAGCTGTTAGCCCCAAACCCATACAAACCCTTAATATAGGGGCCTAGAGAATTACGAATACTGCTTTGGTGGGTTCCTTATTATATTTTTAGCATAATGGGCCCTAAACCGCTATTTAAATTATTAAAGCCCCTATACTAAATCCTTATAGTCAGCCTAATAGAACCCTTTAACAGAACCCTTGCAGGGCCCTACAACCCTATTCTAATTAGTAAGGCCCTAAACTAAATCCTTATAGTAACCCCAACGGAACCCTTCAAAAGAACCCTTAAAGGGCGCCAAAAGCCTATTCTAATTATTATGGCCCCTGCATGATCCCCGCAAGTCGGACCTTGACACGGCAGTCGGATTCGCAGGACGTGTGCGGGCAGGTGTGGTTCACCCAAAGCGAGTTCAAGTCCTTGGGCGGTTTAGGGTTTAGGGGTTGGGGTTAAGGGGTCCAGGGTTTAGGGTTGGGCTGACCGATTTCACATTTGGGGTTTGGGGCTCAAGGCGCGTGCGATCGCTGAGCCCAAACCCACCACCGATAGCAAAAAACAGACTCTAGGCCTGCACTACACCCTCGATTCCCGTCGTCGGCGCCTTCTCGTTTTCTTCGATGTCGCCGCAGCGAAAGGAGGCTGGATGTGTTGGCTACTAAAGTAGTCGTCCTACCGGCAGCGGTAGCTGCAGTGGCCGTGTCAGTGGCAGCTGCAGCAGTGACGCAAGGACGAGTCGGGGTAGGAGCAGCAGCAGCTTCAGGAGTAGCATTAGTGTCAGCCGCAGCCGAAGTTTCTATTCGCCTGCTTCTTCTGATGTCGCCACAATTTGCTAGTTCGCGCCATGACCGCTGCTGACAATCATCGTAGTGGTTCTTAGCGCTGCGCTTCGATAAGCTTAACAGACCAGGACCAGTAGACTGAAACGTCTCCTGGTGCCACCAAACACAGCTTTATGAGGCCTGGGAAACACAAGCCCCACCCAAAGCTCGACACACCAAACGCCGGAAACCCTTCGACCTTCCAAAACCCCCTCTTCGCCTACGATGAAAACGCTCAAGACCCTTGCGATTACTATTCTTCCATACGCCTCTCCTCACTACTCCTTGCTGTCGGCATCATGAACATTCGCATAATCATAGTCATGGCCACCGTCAGTACTGCACTACTTGGAGGATCATGGGACTTAGTAACTAGGGTTATAATTAGGGTAACTATACTCATAACCCCAATTAAGGTACTTATAACCTTACTTACTAAGTCCCATGATCCTCCAAGTATGGTCAGCTTCTGCCAGTGCGCATCCAAGGAACCAAAGCCAGGATTTCCAAGTCCAGGTCTTCGTGCTTCAAGTACCAGGAGAAGCCGGGCATGAAGAAGTGGTCCTGGGTTCCGGGATGTACGGGGGGGTGTCAAAATTAGGGTCCCTTTAACAGAAGACGAAACAACGTCCTGATCAGATCAGGCAAGTTGGGATAGGAAGGGTCCCCTTCAAGGTTTTGGGTGCCCCAAATATTACGTGCCGTGCTTTGTTAGGGGCCCAAAAAGGGACCCTAATTTTGAGAACCACTTATATACAGGGGTGGTTTCGGTGAAGTTTCGACAAGGTCGCTACAAGAGAGTGGCTCTGAGCTGCCACAATCAGAAAGAATGGCTCCACGGCCCTGTCGCCAGGGTTTCAAGTAAAAACAGAAAACCCACGAATAAACGCTAAGGCAAAAGAAGATAGCAACCATGACCACCAAGAGCATGGTATGAAAACAGCAGACCGGCGGGGCCATAAGGAAAGGAACGGGCCATTGGGTTTAGGGTTTAGGGTTTAGGGTTTACAATCTACTTGCCGATATGTCTACCGAAAGAACTCATCTGTTCTCTCTCGCTCTCTCATCTCTTATGCTGGTGGGATTATGTAAAACACGCACACATGTAAAAAGCCATCCTGAACCCAAACGCCGCAAACCTAAAGAGAAACTCCTCAACTCTAACCCCTTTACTCACTACCATACCCAAGAATCCAAGTCAGCCAGGTCGTAGTTGATCTGCGCTGCCTCGAAACGTGGCAGGATTTGGGTGCTAGAAGGGTGGCAGAATAAGGGTTCTGTAAGTATTTCGGGTTTTGGGCTTACTGTGTAGGCTGTAGCATCGAGCACAGACCGGACGGAGCCCGGAACAGCAGGCCCCAAGGCGGATGTAGCAATGTAATGTAGGAACCTGATTAAGAAACCCTGGGCCTATAACCCCAAAATAGAAGGGTTGATATAAGGAACCCTTTTAAAGGCCCAAGGTTTCTTAACAAGTTCCTACATTAGGAAGCTGTGGATATCGACTGTTAAAGCGTCGACTCGGCTTTCTACGTCTGGGGTCTAGGAAGCTCGGCCGAACTCTCAGAACGTGTCCGAAACCAAATCATCATCCCAAGCATTCTGCATGCAAGGGCTCGAGGGTTGGACATGTGCACCGTAGCAAACATAACTGTCATCATCAAGGTGCTGGTGTTATGATGCTGACAGTTTTAGGTAAGCAAAGCGACCTACACAGTCCGCGCACAGTACTTATAATCGTAATGCCCACAATACTGGAACTGATATTGTTAATTTGCTAATATCTGCCTTCTCCTCATCACTGCTGCAGGCGCCTGGGTCGTACAGCATGTCCTGGGCTGCTCTTTACGGGACCACTGGTTTTGTGTACGGTCTAAGGCTTTTAAGGGGAGCACGTAACCATACGCGACAACAAACAAAGTGAACCCCTAAACCCTAAACCCCATCGATTGCAACCAAGGGTCATGGTTGCCATAGACGCTGTACCATGGTACGCTGCGAACGCTTGGGGAGTAGACTCTGCGCCACTTCAAGTGCCACGCGGTGTCGTCCTTGCTTGTGACACCACCCGGATAGAACGAGTCGCCAACGTTGATGACGAACTTCACATCCCCTAGTTCGGTGAACTCCTGGTGCATCCGGTTGGCGATCAGGCCCTGGCAGTGCCGACCCACATTTCCGTGCGCAACGTTGTCAAAGCCCCAATCCCCAATCACCATAAAGGAGGCGACGCGCGTAGCCGTCGGCTCGTCGTCTCCGAGGCACCCGAGGGGTCCGTCGAGCACAGCCAGGATGAGCAGCCATTGAACCAAAGGCAAGTACGCCATTCTCAGCTTCGACTGCTGGCTGCTTCCTATCGAGCCCAAAGGAGCTGAAACACGTAACGTGCTTGTGCCTGAACTCCGTGCTCTCTCTCTTGTACATGCAGGCTCTCTTCGGTTCTTAATGTCCATGTCCGATGTCGTACAGGACAACCCTGCTCGATGTCGGTGCATCCACTTGACTTGCAGCGAGACTTGTGGCATCTAGTGACATGTATGACTGCACCTTTCTGTGTTAGACCGTCTCAGGCTGCAGCATGGTGTAGGCCATCGCGTTGTGCTAAGCTGATATGGTCTACGAAACGGCTTGTATGTCAAACGGTGCGGCCATACACTGTGCTGTGGCATGTCGTGTCGCACTCCAACAAGGTGCTGTGTTGCCGCTCTTGCCAAGTGATATGCTGCTTTGTCGCGGGCTCATTCCCCGCTGCTGAAAACAAGGAAGCGGACAACATGCCGTCTTGTGCGAGCCAGGAATGGGGCAAAAACTCTTTGTGTGGCCAGTTGCATGTTTCGGCGCTCACACTCGGACAAACCAGGCGAGGCATGTGGTTCGGAGTCTGCTGAGTGAGACTTCACTAAGAGCGGCGGTCAAAGACAGGCAACATCAGGCTGCAAACAATTAACTTGACCGTACTGGACTGGACATCCTACCCACTTAGCAACACGCATCGAACCAGTAGGATTCTGAGATACGACAGTATGTACAGATCACTACAAAGAAGCACAGGAAACAACAATATGGGAAGATGGGTTCTTCATTTCGAAGATATCACCGGCGAAATCCTTTCATAGGTTCCAGCATATTACCGGATTACTTCTCACAGAACTTGGTGAAACTAGTGCACAACCCCTCAATCCCACCTCTGCGGGCTCGAATCCCGCCCCTGTCATTTCCCCCCCCCCCCCCACAGACTCAGAATCTCCGTTCCCAACGTCTGTCATTCTCCCCCCCACAGACTCAGAATCCCTTTTCCCAACGTCTGGGGATGGGATCCCCCCTCCCCCTGGACTCACAACCCTTCGACCCAACGTGTGCGGGCTCGAATCCCTCCCCCATCATCCCCCCCCCATTCCCTGGACTCACAACCCCTCAACCCAACGTCTGCGTCTGCGGGCTCGAACTGCCCGGCCTCCCCTCAACCCAACGCTTGCGAGCTCGAATCCCGCCTCCATCATTTACCCCCCCCCCCGAAGTCACAACCCCTTAACCCAACGTCTGCGGGCTCGAATCCCGATGTCTTGAAACCCTACTTGGAGGTTCATGGATAGTTACAAGTGGGTTTATAAGTAGGTTAGCCATAATTATAATCCATATTGAGGGGACTTATAACAAACTTATAACCACCCATGAACCTTCCAGTATTATAGAGACCCTTAAAGGAAGCCCTTCTAGAAGCCCTTTTTTCGGAACCCTTCCAGAGACCCTTAGAGAACCTCCCAGAGAGCCCTTGCAACTACCCATGGACCTCCAAATAGACCAGCAAACAGGGACAGGCCTCTCGCGAGCCCCTTTCTGAACCACTTTTTTTGACACTCACTCTCGGACTAGCCTGGCAAGGTCTGCAGAAGTAGGTACGACGATGATCATTAACTGCCCGCAAGCCCATTAGCTCACAGGGTGCTGTCAGACAAGATCCCAGAAACACCAACGCCAAGTGTCCAAGCATAACACAGATCCCAACTGACAGCAGACTCCCAGAGCACAAACGCTAAACCGAAAGAACCCACCCCTAGTTCCGTACTCCAAGAGCCCCGTGAAACAGCTTTCGGTACTACTACCAACTCACATCACTCCAAGGCTTCAGAGGTTGCAACATGCAGTATGACCAACCACCGCGTTAGTTCACTCATACCTGTCCAGTCGTGCAGCCATCCATGCATGTTTTGCTCAACCAGGACATGCACCATGCACCATGCAGCAATCTCACCATCCACCAGTATGTGGACCAAAAGGCCGCGCCCCATCAGCGGGAACCCGATCGACTTGCCATGCATAGATACAGAATAACCCATGTAGAAAAGCGCATTGCCGTGTGGACTCCGTCTACCATGCAGAAGGGATCATGTCCCGAGAAACAGCATGCCATAGCCCCCCGCAGTTCGCTGTCGCAGACGAAGGTGAGCGCACTCACAAATTCACCACGCTGTCGGCACTCAGCTCTAAGGACAGTGGTTGTGCAGAGCAAAGCAAACATAAAACCATGCAAAAGGCAAGTCGCCAATATCATGCAGTGGTACATCCTACCCCAGCTGCCCACTCGTGGATCAGGACGGGCTAGGTCTCAAATTCATCCTGCAGTTGGCATTTCGTATGCAGAAAACTCCCAGAGGCAGCGGCTGCCAAGAAATTCATGTAGCCTTCATGCCAGAATAAGGATCATGCAATGATACATCCAACAACCACGGCCACATGCAGGCGATGTGTCCAGTAGCCAGGCGGTGTTTGTATCCAGTGATGCTCAAATTCAGCCATGCCGTAAAGCAGCCTATCCCAGCTGCCTACTCGTGGACCAGAACGGACCATATCTCAAATTCACCATGCAATGTGCATTCGCGCATGCCGAAAACTCCCCGAATGGCCTCCAGGAAGATCCATGCAACCATCATGCCGGAAAAGATCATGCAGTGATATGTCCAACAACCACGGCAATATGCAGGTGATGTGTATCCAGCGGCCAGCTGGCGTTTGCAGCCAGTGACGTTTAAATTTAGCACTTGGCATCCAGAAATTCTCAAATTCTCATGCCTTTGTCAGATCCCCGATCTCAGCGCACGTTGATTATGCCCGGAGCTGGTGATATTGTGGCGTAGGTGCCAGCTCAGTGTCCACATACAAAAACCACGTGCGTAGACGAATTCGTTCAAAAACCACCATCAAAGATGAATAAAACTCCGGAGGCGGCTTCCGTGCAGCGCGGAGGTTCAGTGCCCTCATCTCCTCGCATTTCTGCGCTAGTCGTCGCCAATACGATGCCACAAGTGGCATCCGTGTCAGATGCTCCATCTCTGGGAGCCGCCACAGCTCTGCCAGGAATCCACTGACATTGGTTGCGAAAAGTGTGGGGCATGCAGAGTCCTCCATAGTCTCCACGAATTCCAGAATTCCAATACCATCGTCAGTCCATGCAGAAACTCTTCGAAGCAGTCCGTAAGTCATGGCGTGGCAAGGCAGGTGAAACAGAGCTGCTGTGTGTCAGAGGTTGGCTGTTATCCCCAACTGGAAGTAAAGTGCTATGTCATAGTAAGTTGAACTCAGATTACAGGCAAGGCAGCAGCATCATCATCAAGACCAGCACCAAATCATCACCCACAATGTTTTCCACACAGCGGGGTTTCGTTGGGGGTTTCAGGGTCGGTTCAAAGATCCTCCTGGCTGTCCAGCACCTCGATCACGTCGTGAGGTTCCTTGAGCCGTAGCCATGAACCACTTTTTACGATCTCGCGACGATGTCCAACCCCTTCTTCTTGTACCTCGAGATGCTGTCCGGACAGGCACAAGGCCCAGTTCTGGGCCCACCTGTCCGTTAACGAGTACGGTTTAGGCTTAACGGCAGTGTTCTACGTTCTGGGTTAAAGTTTCTGTGTAGAAACTTGCTAGAGTTTGCATGAGACATTGTAGGCTTTTGCTACATCAGGAGCACTCGCAAGTCGGGTAGCTTGTGTCGATGCGGGAAGCGGCTTTATGACTGAAGCTTCGGAGATTCGGGCAAAATCGTTCAGCCCGCACTCCGCATCCAAGCCTTTAGAGCCCCAAACCTGCGGTTTAGGGTTTAGGGTTTATGGTTTAGGGGTTTAGGATTTAGGGGTTTAGGGGTTTAGGGTTTCGGGGCCGGAAAACCCCTCCCTGACCCGGGAACAACCCAAAAGCGTCTGCAGTCTTAGCATGGTCGAGGGCTGCGTGAAGGAGTGCGTGCCCGAGGCTTCAGAGTATGATGTAGGAACCTGTCTAAGAAGCCCTGGGCCTTTGTTAGGGTTCCTCTAAAGGGGTCTATAAGGGCTTCTATAAGGGATCTATAAGGACTATAATAATCTAGGAACTTGTTTAAGAAACCTTGGGCCTTTATTAGGGCTCTTTATATGAAACCCTTTTTGAGCACGGACTTTGAGTGTTTATATGAAACCCTAAACCCTAAACCTTAAACCTTTATTCAAGTTCTTTATATATGAATCCTACTATTTTGTGGCTATACGGCCAGGGTTTCTTAATCAGGTTCCTACAGTACTGTCGTGTCGGCCCACTAGCTTGCAACCTCTCGAGGCACCTGCGTTGTCACGTGCCGTGGCATGCACCGCCACTTCTTTGAAGAGGCGGAGCACCATTGATTCTATAACTGCGCAAATAAGCTTCCAAGCACAATCCGGCAGGACAGAAGGCCAACCGTCAGCACATGACATGGTCCTGGACCCAACGGCAACCATCGACCAATTCCATCAAAAACCCTAAATGCTAAACCCTAAACCCCAAAACCCTAAAGGGCCTAAAACCAAAGAGCTCTGACGCCCACGAAGTCGCCTAGTGCTGTCCGGAGTCCGCAAGCCCTGTGCTCGGAAGCTCTCGAAGAGCTAAGTGCAACTCCGGGCCGGAGTCTCCAATCGCGACCCTCTTGGACCGTAGGTTTAGGGTTTAGGGGTTAGGGTTTAGGGGTTTAGGGGTTAGGGTTTAGGGTTTAAGGTTTAGGGTTGGGGGTTTAGGGTTTAGGGTTTAAGGGACCGTACCAGAAAACTGGAGCTTTTTGCCTGGTGCTCGGGCCTGCTTATATGGGTTTGAAGCTTGGCACCAGTGTCTGCACGGAAAGGCAAAAAGCACGGCACAATGGCACAAAACTGGGTCAAAACCGCCCATAAAACCTGAACCCTATACAAGTTCTATACCCCCTGGCCCCATCTGCATTTCAACAATTCTTTGGGTTTGAAACAGGAAGGGAAATTAACGATCATGCCAAATCGATACCTACTTGGGGTTCGAGGCTGAATTTTGACGGCTTTAGGACTTTCAGTTTCGGGCCTTATGGGAGAGCATGTCTGGGATAGTATTAAACAATCTAAACTTCTATTCCTTGTTGGGTTTATGTACCCGCAAACATGCAAAATGCTATCCAACTATCACGAAGCAAACTTTAAACCTAAACCCTAACCCCTTAACCCTAAACCCTGAACCCTAAACCTCAAACCCCAAACTCAAAACCCCAAAACCCCAAAACCCCAAAACTCCTAAACTCCTAAACCCTAAACCCTAAACGCCCTAAAAGCCCTAAACCCTAAACGCCCCTAACCCCACGGTTTCGGGCCCTATGGGACTACGGTAAAAGCCAGAAAGTTGGAATATCATTATCGTAACCCCCTCAAGGTAAATTATAGGGGATCCTACCATTAATCCATATTCCAACTTTCTGGAGTCCCCTAAACCCTAAACCCTAAGCCCCTAGACCCTAAACCCTAAACCCTAAACCCTAAATGGGAGACTGCTTTTGGATTCCTAGGCTCAGTCCTGAGATCCGGCTCCGGAGGCCCAGGAAAATCTGGACAGCAGCAAACCGCTGCCCAAGTTAACACAGGGGCCTGAATAAATGGGTTTAGGGTTTAGGGTTTAGGGTTTAGGGTTTAGGGAATAGGGTTCCTTCAAAGGGTTCCTTCTAAAGGGGCCTGAAGAAAGTTTAGGGTTAAGGGTATAGGGTCTAGGGGCTTAGGGTTTGTAAGTTTAAAGTTTGGGGTGTAGAGTTTACTTGATCTATAACCGGGATCTATGATATAGGAGCCTGGTTAAATCGAATACGGCTCCTCTAAAGGGTTCCTTCTGCAGGGGTGTATAAGATGACTTTTATTTATAAGAGTTGAGAGTAGGGGCCTGAATAGGTGTTGGGCTGCTTCAACAGGTTCTTTAAGGTATCTACGGGGGTTACTTTGAGGGCTACCAGAAGGGTTTAGCGTAAGGAATAGAACAGGGTTCCTTTAAAGGGTTCCTCCTACAGGGGTCTCCAAGGGTTACTGATTATAAGGGTTTAGAGTAGGGGCCTGAATAAATAGAGTAATTAATGAGGTTTGGGGGGGCACATCATATTGTAGTTACAATAATAATAACGAGCCCCTAAATCTTATAGGTAGTTAATATAAGGCCCCTATACTAGACGTATTCATACGCGAAAGGTACGCTGACCTCTGAGGCCGCGTGGAAGTTCGGCACCGTCCGCATCTCGTGAACGGGGCCATAATCGGCTGGGCAGTCACAGCCTTAGGCAGAATCGGCGGGGGTTTACCTTTACTTAGGGGGTTTGAGACAGGGGCTTAGGGGGTGCAGGGTTTGCGTTTAACGAGAAGTCGGACAACCATAATTTATCATATATATATATATATATATATACCATTTTTATCTTTCATGAGATCAGTTATATCCAGTTCAGACATAATAACTGGATCCCCATATATCCCCACTTGAGATAGTTGCACCTGTTGTACCGTAGACCCTTTCCGAACGAACTCTCTCTGGAGTACCTCCATGAGCCGGCCACACCCGTGCTCCGCCATAATAGGCCCTAAACCCCAAACCCTAAACCCCCCTAAACCCTAAACCCCTAAACCCTAAACCCTAATACTACGCCCTCTTTGGCCCACCGAGCACGAGGGGATCCAGGGGTAAGTATAACCCATATTGGGGGACTTAGAACACCATTTATAATTACCCTAAAACCCTGAACCCTATAGAACCCTTGAAAAACCCTAAACCCTATAGAACCCTTAAAGGAAACTCATAAACTCCACTTATAACTACCCATGAACCTCCAAGTACCAATTGGTCTTGAGGCGCCCGAGACTTAGCGAATGAAGGGGTTTAGGGGTTCAGGGGTTTAAAATTTAGGCCTTAGAGCGAACATCTCTAGTTCGGAAGGTGAAGCTCTGTGCAGCCTCGACCCTGCCCTGGGTTGATCCTCTGAACCCGAGACTCCAAGACGTTTCACCCAAAACCACCAAACCCACAGCCTCCTGCACAAACCTGAACCCTAAAAGCCCTAAAACCCCCCCCCAAAAAACCGTAAACCCATAAAACCTACTAAGTCCCATGAACCTTTGAGCAAGCCAGTGGTTGGGCTTGCGACTTCGCCCGGAAGTTGGACCAGCACACCCTAAACCCTAAGCCTTGAAACCCCTAAACCCTAAACCCTAAACCCCTAATACTGCCACCCTGATCCCAAGACCCGAATTTTCCGAGCAAAAACCCCCTCAAAACACCGAGGCGCCTTCAACGGCTGACCGAGGGTACCTCAGGTTCAGGGATCGAGCACGGTTTGAGGCTCCAGGGCGTTAGGATTCTGTAGTAGCTCTTTGAAAAACATTCAGGGGTTTCAGGATCTAAAGTTCAGGTTTGGGGTTAAGGCTTCGAGGCGGGTTTAAGGTTTCAGGGGCTTTGGTCCATTGAGCATTTCAGGGTTTAAGGTTTTGGTTTAAAAGAAGTCCCTGTTCCGTCTGCATGATCCGGGAAGCGGTTCTTCCGCTGGGCGTATGGGAGAGTCCTTGTAACACTCCATCGTAAGCCCTGAACCCTAAACCCTAGACCCTGAACCCTAAACCCTGATCCCTAAAACCTAAACCCTGAACCCTAAACTCTGAACCCTATGTAATCCCTGAACCCTAAACCCTGAAGCAACCCTACACCCCTATAGCCCCATATTAAAACTACCTATGAACCTCGATTATGGGAAGCCCGGTAAGGCGGAAGTATAGTTGTAGTTCCTCTATAGGGTTTTTCCCTCCTACCTAGCAAGGACGAAGCCCGCATCTCAGGGAATCTTGGTTGAACAGCTGAAAGGGCTAAGATTTCATAGCTAATGATAGGGTTTAGGGTTCATGGGGCCAGCTTTAAAGCGTTTACGATGAAAGCTTTTTCGGCACCGAAGTCTCGGGTAACGAAGGCGAAGGTTGCGGAGAAGAGTCTTGAGGGCGTTTTCCCTCCTGCTTCGCAAGGACGAGGCCCGCATTGCAATTTTAAGGGCTTCGGGTTTGAGGGTTTAGGGTTTAGTTCAAGCTGTTGCATCGGAGGGGGCTTAGGCCCGCACCTCAAAACCACATAACCGGACTCTGCACTTGAGGCTTGGCATATGGAGGATTCCGAGCCCAGCCCCTAAATGCGAGAACCTCAAAGAGCCCAGCCCCTAAATGGGAGAACCTCAAAACCTTAATACGGTTGATGATACATAAAACCCGCAATACACATAATGAGGAATGCACCATAGTTCTCATAGTCTAGGGTCCTTAAGGTAATGTAGGATGTATATCATCAACCTTTTATAACCCCAACAAACCCTGCGGACCCTCGCAAAACCCCTGTAAGACGCCGGCATTAGCGGATTGGCGAGCCGCCCTCGATTCACGAAGGCGGCCTCCCGCGGTTTAGGTTTCAGGGGCCTTCGGTTTTTTTTTGGATTGGGGCTTGTGTTAGGAGTGACATTACCCTAAAAGCCCTAAAACCCTTAAAACTCTAAAAACCCCTAAACCCTAAACTCTAAGCCCTAAACCGGGTTGAAGATTTGAGGCATGGGATTTCGGGGCCAAAAAGAGTCAGTTGATGGCTTTTTAACCCAAGGGCTTCGGGCTTCGAGTCTGAACTTTGGGGTTGCCGGTTTTACAAATCTTGAGATGCAACAGATGGGGCCGTAATAATTAGTGTGGGGGTTCCTTTAGGGTGATCCTTAAAGGGTTCTATAAGGGATCTATAATATAATGGGGTTCTGCAATATAATAGGGGCCTTAATGATTAGAATAGGGTCTTGGGGCATATGACTCTGTAACTATAATAAGGAACCCTAGGAATAATTTTGGAAATCACAGCTGTCTTTAAGCCCCTATATTAAGGCGTCTAGATGATCAGGGCCGTTTCAGAGTTAAGGTTCAAAATTTAGGGTTTAGAGCGTCTCGACACTTCGAGGGGGTTTGATGGTGAGCTGCGTACATCCACTAGGCCCCGCAGGAAACACATTCGAGTTCGAGCTACGATCATGGAGACAGATTCCACCTGTTGTTCATACGATTTCGTACGTGTCGTCAGTCGTTCAGCTGTAATGCGGCGCATTTCATGCTTTGGGCCGAGGGTTTGGGTCTGCGTTCGGGTACAGGGCTTCTTTCCGCCATAAACTCGCCAAGTCCTCGGATTGATACATAGGGGTTTACGAAAATAGGGAACCCTAATATAGCATCCTAAACAGTAGGATCCTTCTAAGGACCCCAAAATAAGGTACCCCGTGTTTTCGGACACTCTCAACATGAAAGAGCCCCTACAGATCCCTTAACACAGCCCTTTTATGTTTGAAGGAACCCTTACAGATCCTTTTAAAGTTTAAAGGAACAGAGAATGGCGCCAAACAAGGCACCAAATATGCGAGGATTCAAGGAAGTCACACAGGACGTCTGAAGGTCTAAGTGCCCACAACAACCCTCTGGGGGCCAAATATAGGGGCCTTAACAACTGATTAGAATTGGGTTTGGGTGCCCTTATAATTACTATGGTTATAATAAGGAACCCCCCACAGAATAGTATCGGCAATTGTTTAAGCCCCTATATTAAACAGAGTCTTTGCAACCAACGGCAAACAGAAGGACGAACCCTTGTGCGCACGATGCGGGCGCACCAGTGCGAGAACCAAGGCGCAAGTACCACAAGCCTGTGATATCAAACAGCATAGAATTTGCGTGTTTTTGCGGGGGGCTGGGTGAGTTCAGAGGCTTCCGGGGGTCCTGTGCTGATTGCTGATGGAGGAGGCCGCGACTGAGCGACTGAATGCAGCTGCTGCTCTAGACTACAAAATGCCTACTTGGATTCATGGGTAGTTATAAGCGGGGTTATAAGTAGGGTAACCTTAAGTTAATTTTCACAAATATTAGGGGACTCATAACCCCACGTAGAACTACCCATGAACCTCCAAGTAGGGTTTCGCGGCTCACTCTGGGACTTGCCAGGCGAGGTTCTTGGCGATTGAGTTTGGTGGTTGAGTTTCGGGTTTAGGCCTCGAGGTTTAGGAGTTCAGAGGTTTAGGATTTTGGCTTTAGGCGTTGCAGTCTGATAGGTGGAGGGTTCTCACTGTGAAAGTTTCGGGCGTTCCCTCAGAAGCTGAGTCGAGGACCGCCAAGACAAGGGCGACCTCATCAGGACACTGAGGATGGGTATGGATCTTGATTTCAAGTTTAAATGAACATCGAAACTGAAATCCAGGGATATTCAGGACACTAACGGCTCTTCTTTTCTTACTCCCCTGATCAAGCCACGTCTCCGTCTGCATAGCCTGATGAGCCACACACCTCGCGCCTCGTTCCCAAAGGGGAGTGCCGAAAATAGGGGATCCTGATATAGTGCCCTAAATAGTTGGCTCCTCATTTTAAGGACCCCAAAATGAGGTACCCCGAATTTTCGGAAACTCCCAACTCTCGTCATGATGGAACCAAGAAGTTCATGACGGAAAGCTCAGGAAGCCCACAGGGGGCTCCGGCCGTTTATTATGCTCCTGAAGTTCACGGTGTTGCCTAGACTTTAAGTAAGAGTAACCTAGGAATAAAAAGGGTGCCCTTTTTGGTTTAAAGTGTGTTATAAGGGAACCTGAACCCTAAAAAAGGGAATAAGGGCTTACTCTGGGTCCTGGTTGCCCTGAGAACGAAAACCTCAACCTAAACCCTAAACCTTACACTCCTAAACCAACACTGCTCGGGCCCTTATGAGGTCTGGCCGGAAGCTTCCCGAAGCTGCCCGAAGCGAGAGCGTCGGACAACTCAAGGACCCGGTTTGGGTTTTTTGGGTTCCGGGTTTAGGGGTGTACGGTGTGTACACCGGACACCGGTGACCGCGCTTGTTTAGGAATGGGGCGCACCCACTTATCGCGCGCTTGCGTCAGCATGTAATCCCGCCCCAATTACGCGAATAAGTCTCAATTGAGGTTTACTGTTCACCCCCCAAGGCCCCTCCAGGGGGTCTTTCTGCAGCCTTCACTGTTCCACACTAACTCTGCCGCCACCGCCACCACAACCACCACCGCCAGCTATGCTGCTACTAGCATTCCTACGCCTGCCTGATACCATGTCGTGACAACTTCGTGAATGTGTGACGAGACTTTGGTTCAAGCTCCGGTTGCCAGAAAAGCCAACAACCCACATAAAGTCCGGAGACCCAAACAAACCAATGCCTCGATATCCTGAAGCTCCAAACCTAACAAAAGCCAAACCCTGATCCCTCAACCTGAAACCCTAAACCCGAAACCCCCAAACCCCTAAACCCCTAAACACCTAAACCCTAAACCCCTAAACCCTAATCCCTCAACTGTGAAAAACGAGACGACTTGGCTCTTGGCATGCTTGCCGCTGCTTGATACCGCAGGCACAGTGGCGTAATCCCTGGATCCAAGAGGATTGTCGCTACGGCTCATGTAGGAACCTGATTACGAAGCCCTGGGTCTTTATTAGGGTTCCTTATATGAACCCTACTATCTACTATTTCGGGGTTTATAGGGCCAGGGCTTCTTAATCAGGTTCCTATAATATATAATTTGATGTTTGGGCTCATGGTTGAGGGACTATAGGGTTCTTGATTTAAGGGTTTTATATAGGGTTTAGGGTTCCTTTTAAAGGGATCTCTCAGGATTACTATAAGGGTTCAAGGGTGTATGTGGATTTTGATTTAGGGTTGTGGCGTTTAGGATTAAGGCTCAAAGTTTTGGACTTTGGGTTGAATCTTTTACGACCGAACGATGAAAGCTTACCTGACGATTGCAAGCGATTTCTTCTCCCTTGGACTTAGAAGGCATCGTGGCTTCCAGCTATCACAACTTGGTAGTCTTGGGTTCGGAATGAGCTAGGTTTGAAGGCTTTGTAGGGATGACTACAGGGCAGCTACAAGGCTCACAAAGCAGGGTTGCCATGAGGTGATTGGCAATTCCCACAACCTCTGAAAAGCTCGCGCCCTCAGCTTGTTGCCCACATGCATTGCACACGAAACGCTCCAAGTACAGCCCTTATAGAGCCCTCAAAGAACCCTTATAGAGCCCTTATGGATCCTTATAACACCCCTAAGAGGGACCCTAATTTGGAGAGCTACCCACACAGTACCTTTTTAGGAGCCCTACAAAATCCCTGATAAATCCTTGTAAAGGTCCCCGAAAAGGCACCCCGCATTTAGAGATCTACCCACGCAATAGGAACATAGAGACCCTTATCGAGACCCTTATAGGAAGCCCTTACAAAAGCCTTTATAGGAACCCTTTTCGAAACCCTTGTGGGACCTTTAAGAGAACTACCCTTTTTTGCATCGGGACTTGTGCAAAAACCCTAAGCCCTAAACCGCAAACCCTATATAAACCCCTAAACCTTATCAGGGCTTAAGAGCAATGTTCTATTGCGATGTCTGCAACCCACCTTTCGTATAACATAAGCTCCCGACATCTAAAACATATCCAATCACGGGCCCGTACGGCCGTACGGGGCCGCCGTATGGCCGTACGAGGGGGGGTCCCCGACGTATAGCATATATTCGCGACGTATAACGTATAACCATACGGGCCCGTACGGCCGTATGGGGGGGTTCCGGACGTAAAACATCTAATCCCCGACGTACAACGTTTAGCCATACGGGCCTGTGCGGCCGTATGGGGCCGTATTGTTGAATGTTATATGTCGGGGGTTATACGTTATACGTCGGGATGTATATGTTATATGATACGCGGTCCAGATCATATGATACGCAGCCCAGGTCGGGTGTTTGATAGAACCAACGAAAACATTGCTTTGGAGCCTGATAACCTAAACCCTATATAGTAGCCCTTATAGTAATCCTTGTAGAACCCTTTAAAAGGAACCCTAAACTCTACATAAAACCCCCAAAACCTTAAACCCTAATTTAGAGAACGACCCACGCAAGCGGCCCTCTGCCTCTTAGTAGCTGAGTTCAGAAGCACCCAAAAAGTGGACATTTTTAGTTCTATAGTGGGTAATATTACCCCAAAAAGTGCAAAGTGTATCCACTCAGCTACTACGTCAACCCTAAACCCCTGAACCCTGAACCCTGAAATCTGCTGAGCCTCAACCCTAAACCCCTAAACCTGGCCCTCTGCCTGGTTATAACAGCCGACCCGTCGTCGCAGCCGAGGTTTCCGCCCACGAAGTCGGCTCCGGCCTCGCAGGGTTTTACGGTTTTTTTTTAAAGGGTTTCGGGTTCCTTTTAAGGGGGTCTATAAGGATTACTATAAGGGTTACTATGTAGGGTTTCGGGTTCCTTTTGAAAGGATCTATAAGGACTACTTTCAGGGTTACTATATAGGGTTTAGGGGTCTTTTTAAAGGGATCTATAAGGATTAGGGTAACTTGAAGGGTTTAGGGTTTAGGGGCTTTACATGGGGTTTAGGGTTCCTTTGAACGGGATCTATAAGGATTACCATAGGGGTTACTATAAGGGTTTAGGGGTTTATATCGGGTTTGGGGTTTAGGATTGAGGGTTTCGGCGGGTTTAGAGTTGCAGAGGGGCCGCATTAATTTTGAACAAGGTTTCGGGGTAGACTATAGTATATTCATGTTAAGGAACCCTCGTCATTTGTAATCCGGGTTGAAGGGTTTAAAACGGCCCAGGGCTAGCAAGTTGTTGGCTTTCAGCCTGTGGCTTCAAGGGTTTCTGGTTTCGGGTTGAAGGTTTCTTGAGGTTACTTGCGGCTCCTAAAATCGCAGCTGTCTGCGTGCCTAAACCCTAAACCCTAAACCCCCTAAACCCTAAACCCCCAAACCCTAAACCGTGTGGGGGATGCCGCTTTGAAACTTCACGCAATCGGGTGTGGGTAGGATCTTCGAGCCACAGCTTCTACTGGGCCGTTGCTAGGGATGCTGAAACGCATGTGTTTTGGACGACATTTCTATGTATCAGAATTCCAGAAGACATCAAAAGTTCGGGGCCGCCCATAACCTGATCGGACTCTCGCAGGCCAAACATCGCAACAGAAGCTCTAACCACAGAGCCTGAGTACGAAGCACTGGTCGATGCAGACATTGTTACATCCAGATGTAGACCCTAAGCTCGCAGGCCCAGCCTATTTTCGCCTCAGATTAGAGAAACCTCCGCCTAGATCATCGAAATCCCTAAACCCTTGGAGCACCCTACCATAACTATTTCTAACATCCCTAGAATCCCTCCTAAACTATGAAAACCTATGCTGAACCAACAACTAAGATCCCAAACTAAAAGCACACTTTAAACACAATATCTCAAGCCTTCTCCAGAAACGAAGGTAGAGTCTTGATGCCCCTGGAACTCTAAATCCGTGACACAAACCTCCATATTCAAAACCACCATGTATTGAATCCTATAGAACACCCTGTAGAACAACCCTTCATAGAATCCCTTATCGAGCATCTAAGCCCTCAACCCTAAATCCGTTCAGCAAGAACCTGCGAAGCTCCCCCTGCCAAAATAAGCACCGTTAAGGCGGCCCCTTTAGAACAACGCTAAAGCTCCCACTTTCAAACGCAAAGTGAAGATCTTACCATTATTTTCTAAAACAGAAGCCTGGAAGCTCCCCTAGTGAAAGGGCAAAACGTTCCAAGCTCTCCCGAAGCACAAACCCTAGACCTTAAACTTTTTGCGCCTTTTTGCATCAGCACTTGCGCAATCGCTTGAGCATTGATTTCCCGAATGCAAAGCATGAGTAATACTGTACACCTTTTTGCGCCCAAAGCCCTGAACGTAAAAGCCTAGCGATCTAAAACGCCTGAATCCCTTCAACTAAAGGTGGCTGTACAGCTTTCCCTCAAGCCGCCGCCCACCTCCACGACCCGGGCGGCAGCTGGTGGACAGTGGCAGAGCCCGGCGCTCACCTGGGCGGGTCGAAAGAAGTTTGGTGCTTTCGCATTTGGTGTTTATGGTTCCTTCAAAAAGTGCAATGAGGCAAGGGTTTGGAGGAGATCAGCAAGGGTTTCATAGTTTTCGGCCGGAAAAGCCTTGCAAAATGCGGGCGAGGGCATCTGAGTACGAGCGGTCGATGTCAGGCAGGATCTACTACCTTGGATCGTTTTTTGCCGGTCCTCGACAGAAAGTACTTGTAACCCGAGGACTGCAGCCAGGGTTTGAGGCTTCGGGCTGTTTTAGTTAGAGTTTCGGTTTCTTCTCTGGTAAGGTTGAGTAGCTACGACTCCAAGGTTTAGGACTTCAGATTTCGGGAGTCGCCGTGTTTGGTGGCGGTTGAATAAAGGGGGTCAGTACTGTCGGGAGATGGGCCTTTGGATTTCTTTGGAGGGTGTCCACAAACTACGGACTTGCGGCTTATTCCCTATGCCGCGCGAGTTGAGCAGAGGAAGAAGATTGTACGAGGATCCCAGGATTTAGGCCCAGGGTGTTGGACCTAAGTCGAAAAAGATGTGGGTAGTTCTCTGAAAATTAGGTTCCCTGTTGAAGTCCCCAAAGCATCACGGCACCCTAATAAAAAGAACCCCAAAACGGACCCTAGTTCAGAACAATACCCATGTAGATCATGCCCGAATTGCGCCAACGTGGGGTCTGGTGCTGGGAAACACTCACATGCCTGTACCAAGCAGGCATTGCGGACCTCGGAACCCAGCCCGAGGCATCTATGGATATATCTTTTTACACAGTTCTAGCTTAGCTATGTTGCTAAGCCCCAAAACCCTAAAAGCTCTACAGGGTTTGTGACCTTCCCTTGTCAAATCGGCACTTTGATTCTTTCACCGTGAGCTACTGAAAATACATGCCGGGAGTTCCTGGAAGACGAAGAAAGCTGCTTCTGCGCTGCTCCGGCAATGCACCTCCGTTGTGACTGACTGCACGGTGACGCAGCTGTCGACGTCATAGTAGTTATAATTATACCCCATTCCTCCATTCCCTACTAACCAATGGTAAGTATACCACGTGTCATCCTATTTTCTTGAAGCAGGGCTCTAACCGCCATCCCGCCCCCCGAGAAGAAGCGGACGAATGACATCAGACCTGTACCATGTCCTTCTCAGCGCTCCTACGACCTGTGCAAGACTGAGACATACTTAAAGGATCATGGGACTTAGTAACTAGGGTTCCTTAAAGGGCTCCTTTAAAGGAATCTATGGCGGTTCTATTATAGGGACTACGTAAAGGATCATGGGACTTAGTAACGAGGGTTATAATTAGGGTAACTATATATACTTATAACCTCAATTAAGGTACTTATAACCTTACTTGCTAAGTATCATGATCCTCCAAGTATGACAAGAACCACGATGATAATGACAGCTATGGCGACCCTCGCTCCCACTGTCACTCATCTCTCCGGAAAACAAAAAATTAAATCCTGAAACACACGACGCAAGAAATCACAGTTTGGCACAGCAGAACTACTGGCATCATACAACTCCCAAGAGCCTCCGCAAGCAGCTAAGCCGGATGTTCATGCGCAGCAAACCCCAATCCTCATTTCCTCCGCTAACCGACACCGTTCGAAACCCGTGCACCTTGCAACTGCGGCTGTCGCGAGAGGACACAGGAAGATGGCTGGCTGAATCCAGCCTAAGAACTGCCGCTTGCGAAGGTTAATGTAGGGGCCTTGATTATTGGGGTTTTGGGGCCCATTATACTATATTTATAATAAGGAGCCCCCCAAATAGTAGAGGTAGTTATCAAGGCCCCTACATTAAGGGCTTCTTCCCTCTCGCTTGGCTAGGATCTATGCCCACTATCAAACCTCAAGTTTAGGGTTTAGGGTTTTCGAAACTTTTGGGTTTAGGGGTTTAGGGGCTTAGGGTTTAGGGTTTTTTTGACACTCACACTCGGACATACTCGGACAAAGCCTCGAAGGTCCACAGCGACACTGGTTTAGGGTTTAGGGGTTTAGGGGTTTAGGGTTTAGGGTTTGGGATTTGAGGGACTATGGCTTTGAGCGTGAGAGCTTGGAAGAGGTTGGGTCTGTTGAAATACTACACCTCACAGGCCCCACGAGCCACCGGGTGCCTGCCCTTGTTGCAAGACTTCCATGTCTAAACTGTAGACCGTCAAGCCTGACCACATGGCACTGACGTAAATTCGGATCTACTGCGCCAGCTCATCCCACTTAAAGTTACAAATTGAAGAGGCAGATACTCCAGGAAGTGACCCAGCAATGTGCAACAAAAAACGGCCACAGCACAATTGCACTCTTAACCCGAGGATCCGCAGAACCTTGGAACCTCAAAACTCACGGCAAGCCTGAGACACGCCGAACCCGCAAGAACTCCTGAAGCCTAAAGAATATACGTCCATCACCGTCTCCCCTTCCCCGATATCCAGAAGAAAGCTAACAAAAGAAGGGTTCAGGTCTTAGGGTTCAGGGGCTGAGGGTTAACCTACCAGAGTCCCGGCATCCCACTGAAGAAGATCCCAAAACCCCCAATCCCAAGCCCACGGAGCCCCACAGCACAAAACTTCCGGAAATGCGGGGTAGGGTGGGTCCCGGAAGCTGCCAAGGCGTGCGTAAGTGTTGCCGGAGTTACGGCTTTGCTGGTTGAGGGTTTAGGGTTTAGAGTCAGGGTTTCGACTCGCATGCTCGCTCAATGCAGGCACGGCTTCATGAGGTCTGGCTTAGGGTTTCGGCGCTCACACTCGGGCAATCCAGGCGAGGCAAAGGGTTCGGAGTCTGACAAGTGAAACGGAACAAAAGCTGGCTTTGGGTTTAGGGTTTAGGTCAGCGTTTACGAGTTTAGGGTTTGAGGGCCTAGAGGTTTAGATGTGACGGCTCGGGAAAAGGGCTTTCAGGGTGTAAGACCCCAGGGCTCGTGCACTGATGACGAGATGACGAGACAGAACTAGAATCCGAATGAGGCAGCTCAGAGTTGAACACAACAGCACCTTTTTCGTGCGCAAGAGACTTACATCGTAGCCTAGGTCTGAAGCACAAAAAAACATCAATTAGAGTTCAAGGTTGAGGGTTCTCCTTAGGTCCTTTCTCGAAAAAGCTTAAGGCTTCAGGGTTCAGGGTTCTCCTTAAAGGTCCTTTGTTCAGGGCTTAGGGGTCGTCCTGAGGCGATGGCAGCGAGAAGCTGCGGCCAGACGTGAAGCAAGGCCGGCCCGGCTTCATCTGCCACGGAGGCTGCGGGACGTCCACTTAAGGGTTCCTGTTACGTGTTCTATAAGGGCTCCATTAAAGCGGTTCATGCAAACTAGTATATACTGTAGAATGTAAAAGCCTGAAAAACTACCAATATTTCATTTCCTAGGGCAGCCTTGTTAAACTGTAGCAGCCCAAAAATTTTCCAAGATTGTTATTCCTCAGGGCCGCTTATGATACTGTGGAAGTTGTGGAAGCGGAAGTTGTGGAAGCCTACATATTTACCAACATGGGAGTTTCCGAGAATAGGGGACCCTATATAATCTAGTACCCTGATTTGTAGGAGCCTTATCATAAGGACCCCAAAATAAGGTACCCGTAATTTTTTGAAAACTCCCAAAACCTAAACCCTTTATAGACACCCTTATAGATCCCTTTATGGAGCCCTTAAAGGAGCCCCGAATTTTCGGAAACTCCAATATTATATTCCTTAGACGCGCTTTTTGGCTCAACTGTCAAGGCTGCCCCTGCCTTACCCCGGATGCGAACCCAGAGAGCCCAATACACCTTATTTTTGGAATACCTAGGGGTTCCGTTAAGGGATCTATAAGGGATCTACAGGGTTTAGGGTTTAGGGGACTGATATACCCTTGAATTTAAAAATATAGCTTACATCATATGAAGCCCCTTATCATGTAAGGTATATTGCTTACTTAAGGGGTATTTGGCTCTCTGTGGAACCTCTGAAGCGGATCAGCCTCGTCTAGCAAATCTCGGTTCCCGCCGTACTGCTCATAGCCGGTATTCCATGCACCGTCCTGGTTCATGGTTGGGATAGTGTTGAGATGTAAATTTCTATCCCTCATTGGGATTACGTACCCAGTGCATGGATGAAACGAAGAGATCGCCCAGGCAAAAGAAAGCCTTTGGCAAACTAAGTGCCCATAAACATGTCAAATGCGACCCAACTACTGCGACCTTGGGAATAAAAATCAAACACATTTTTTGGGTAATGTGCCCATAAATATCTACAATGTGCCCCAACTACGACGAAGCGTCGTCGCCATCCGCGCTGTCGCCATCCCCGTCCACTCCATCCCCGTCCCAGCCCGCAGAGCCGCTATCGCCGTAGACGTTATCCTGGGCCGTGCTGTAATATACTTAAAGGATCATGGGACTTAGTAACTAGGGTTATAATTACGGTAGCTATACTTATAACACCAATTAAGGTACTTATAACCTTACTTACTAAGTCCCATGATCCTCCAAGTAGGGGCCTTAAGAGTTCGAGCAGGGTTCCTTTAAGGGTCTATAAGGGCTACGAGAGTTATATGTGCTGTTTTAAGGATTTTGTATCGGGGCCTTAATCATTCGAACAGGGTTCCTTTAAAGGGGTCTACAAGGGCTACTTTAGACACAAGTGCTATTTCATGGATTTGGTATAGGGGCCTTAAGAGTTAGAACAGGCTTCCTTTAAAGAGGTCTACAAGGGCTACTTTAGTGATAAGCGCTATTTCAAGGATTTTGTATAGGGGCCTTAGTATAAAATTAGAATGAGGTTCCTTTAAAAGGGTCTATAAGGGCTACTATAGCTATAAGTGCTATTTCATGGATTTGGTAGGGGCCTTAATAATTAGAATAGGGTTCCTTTAGAGGCATCTATAAGGGCTACTGTATTTATAAGGGCTATTGTAAGGATTTGGTATAGGGGCCTTAATAATCGGAATAGGGGTTTGGGGGCCATCATACTATAGTTAAAAAATAAGGAACCCCCAAGAAAGCATAGGTAATCATTTAGGCCCCTATAGTAAAGGATCTGTGAGGTCTCACTTGCAGGTTCATGGGTAGTCATAAGTGAGGCTCTTGGAAGCCTGTTAGAGCCCTGTAACAAACCTTTCCGAATCCTTCGCCGCAAAAGCGAACGAAAGGCAAAGAAAGTTTTTCCAGACCCCAAACCCCAAAGCCTAAACCCTAAACCCCAAAGCCTAGACCCTAAGCCCCAAACCCTGCCCTAAACCTGACCCTAAACCCCAAAGCCCTATAAACCTGACCCTAAACCCCAAAGCCCTAAACCCTAAACCCCAAAGCCCTGAACCCTAAACCCTAAATCCCAAAGCCCAACAAACAGCCTGAGCCCTAAAACCCCGAGAGCCCAATACCCCTTAATTAGGCAATATACCTTAACTTATAAGGGGCTACATATTATGATGTTAAGCTATATTCCGTAATTAAGGGGTATATGAGTCCCCCAAACCTTAAACCCTGTAGATCCCTTAGAGATCCCTCAAAGCAAACCCGAGGCATTCCTTATTGAGCTCTTGGGGAACCCTTTTCGTTGCGGCCCCGGCGGCGGTGAAGCCCTGAGAGGCCGAGCTGCCGGCCTCCTCTGGCTCCTCGCTAGAGTCCCTTTTTGGGTCCTTGTTATAGTGCGGCACCTAATATTTTTGGGTTCCCAAAAAAGGGACCATAATTTGGTGGGGGCTCTGGTGTGGTGGAGTTTGGGGTTTACGCTCACGCTCTCACAACTCGGACATGCCAGGCGAGGTTCTCAGGTGCGAGGTCGGTGTGAAAAGAGGCAAAGATCGATCCTCACTTGTGCCAGTTCACCACGAGGGCTACCACGTAAAACTCGATTATCAAGGGATTCCAGAACACCAGGCCTTGATACTGGTGTGAGGATCAGCTATGGTCACTCATCGCCAGGAAGACAACACAACGATCAACTTGAACACAGTAAGACACAAACCATGACGTTGGAAAGGTGCGGCGCTGAGTGTCTTTAGTCTATCTAAGGCGGTCAGCAGAGGAAGACTATGTCTGACATTGTTTGGCTACTATGGCTACTTTGAGCTTTTGTCACTTTGCAAATTCTACACGAGGCTCGCACCGAGGCTCGCACAAGCCTACGTGGGACAAGAGTACTCGGAAGCCTCCTGCAGATTCCAACAGAGCAACCTGTGCTGTAGGTGGTGGTGAAACAGACTCACGGGTCAGGCTCACTGGTCAGGTGGCTCGAGCAATCTCACTCGGTAGGTGCAGAAGTCCCCGGACTCACGACTGTCGGGCAGGGTTCCGCATGCATCTGTCAGTCGTCAAAATGACGTCCTCCTCTTATTGCCCCAAATTCTGCGGTGCTTGCACTGGCAATCTACGGTCGGACCATCGCACTCATTGGTCTAAACAGGCAGGCTCGCAGAGAGATGATTGTCTCATTGACATTCTCCCGTTGTCGCAATGACCTGTAACATATATGCCCGCCGACCAAGAATTGTGCAGCCCATCCCATGGGACAAACATGGCTAGAACTCAGCATTCGTTCACAGTTGAGGACAGGCCTGCTCGTTCAGTTGCTTGCCGGACTTGGCGGGCCTTTCGAGCTCGCAGGGTGATGCCCCGTCCATTTCCGATCCGCATCTTGTTGCAGCGAGTCAGTTCAGGAAGTGCGTGTCTCCTGTTTGTCTCCGTATCAGACTTCGCTTCGCAGACAGGCGGTCCCATGGCTGCGGCGGGGGTCGCGGGTTGGTGGTTTCATTAAGGAAAGATAAGGGAAACAAGGATAAAACCCGCTAGAAGTGGGGTGGCAAAGTCGTAAGCACTCCCTTCCCGGGGACCAGACGACGGGGTTCTCAAGACCGACGTACCTCGCAGCACCATCACAGAGACATCATCCATCATGCACCATGCATCCATGCAACAAATTCACAGTCCAGCACATGCATCAAATTCACAGTCCTGCAAAAGGCATCCCTGGCAAGTCCTGCACGGGCAAGTGTATTGCACACTGTAAGCTCGTGGGTTGCTGGCACGACCTAGCTGGTCTGGGTGTCCTCAATGAGAATGGGTTTCAACATGAGGTCCTGAAAGGGGCATCGCTTCTGCTGTTCCATTTTCGCCTTCTCTGCGGACTGTTCCAGAGCCTGACGTTCCCTACTCAGTGCCAGGGCTTCCAGGATATTGAGTTGCTTGAGGTCTGGATTTCTGTTGCAGCCGAAGTCACTCGGCAAAAACCCAAGAGTGGCCTGTCTTACCATTGTGCTACTCGGGAGGTGGAAGCCCAGTCCTAGCATGTGCTGCCTGAGGTCTTCACTCACGTTCTTAGCATTAAGGATTGTGAAGGCAACAAGTGTAACCCTGTTACTTGGATCTGCTCCAGGAGCCAGATGTCCTGCATGCAAGAGTTTCCTAGCGTTGAAAAAGTAGGGTTCCGTGAGATCCACAAGTCGACCTGGGAGTAGGGTTCCAAGGTGCTGTTTGAAGCATGTGCCGAGGGGGTCTTGCACCCAAAGCCCTTCTGCGCCTGTTGGTTCATGCAGGTTCACAATCATGGAATGGAAAGGTCCATTTTTTGTGTCTCTGTGGGGTTGTCCTACTAGGCCTTCGCGAAGAACAAAATTAGTGTAGGGCAGCATTGGGGCGAGCTTGCGAATGTACCTGTTCACCGCCATCACTAAGTACGGGGTTTCAGTGCACGTGGTCAAAGGGCAGTCGTTATGCCGAGGGTTACATCCGGCCACGATGTATGTGCCTACAGCATCCCTATCACCACCAGCACGACGACGGTACGTACGCGGCATCATTCGAAAAAGGTTCATCAAGTCATCACGTTCCGGTGGATGCTCTCGACTTAGCAGTCTGTACGCCCTGAACTCCACGGCTCGGAGCAGGTGGTCTTCAGAAAAACCGAACGACGGCAACCTCGGGTTGTGGGGAGGTGTCAGAAGGCTTTCAGCATCCTCGGGGATGTCCTGGCTTGTTGGCTTTCTGGGGCGTTTCAGGGGTTGTTTACAGGCCTCAGAGTGCAGTGAACTGCTCGACCCTATGAGAGCGAGCTGCTGGATCTCCGCCCAACACTAGCCAGGTAAGTTTGGGGTTTAGGGTTTAGGGTTTAAGGGTTTAGGGCTTATGGTTTAGGGTTTAGGGTTTGAAAGGGTCTATGGCTTAGGGCTTTGGGGTTTAGCTTTGCGCGGGCTCTGGCATGGTGGAGGTTTGGGGTTTCGGCGCTCGCACTCGGACAATCCAGGCGAGGCATGTGGTTCGGAGTCTGAAGGGTGAGACTACACTAAATGGGAGAGTCGATATGATAAGTAGTAACAACAATTATAGCCATCGCATAAAGTGACTGTACTCCGCTGCGACTTCATCCCTCCCAAGATCTTACAGAAGTGTATCAAGTGCAAAGTTGGTAAGACCTTGGGAATGATGTAGCTGCAGATCACGGCGAGGGTACAGGGATGACATGATACCTAAAAGCATTAAAATAGTGATCTGGACTGGGTAAGTCGATGACTTTCAAATTATTTGACGAGCCGTATTGGCCAATCGCACGGATGAAATAGAGGGTGATACATGATGGACATGTGGGCTCTGCTGCACTCATGCCAGGGGTTTAGGGTTTAGAGTTTCGGGTCCCGTTAAAAGGAATCTATGAAGGGTTTAAGAGTTTCCGGTCTCTTTTAAAGGGATCTGCAAGGGTTTAGGAGTTTCGGGACGGGACCCTTTTAAAGCCATCTATATAGGGGTTTAAAGATATAGGGTTTAGGGTCCCTCTTTTAAACTCTAAAGGGATCTATAAGGGTTTAAGGGTTTAGGGTTCAGGGTTGGTGCTTAGGGTTTAGGGTGTAGGGTTTGGGGTTTAGGATTCCTGTTCAGCGGATCTATAGGGCTTAAGGATTGAGGGTTTGGGGATTTAAGCATTTGGGGATTAGGGTTTAGGTTCTGGTCTGGTACTATAGGGGCCTTATTTTTTTGAGTAGGGTTCCTTTATCTTCTTGAGCTACTAGCTATTGTAAGGATTTAATATATGGGGCCAAAATAATCAGAATAGGGTTTTGGGGCCCTCTCAAACTATTAATTGTAATAAGGAATCCCCAAAAACAATAGGTAATTATCTAAGCCCCCATAGTAGAGGGTTTAGGAAAAGAGCTTGGGGTTTAGGGTTCAGGGCTGGGGGTTTGGGGTTTGCCGTGGAACGGCGCGTAGGCGGTAATATCTTGCGACAAGGTTGTGTCGAGTGCAGGGGCGACGAGCTGCGAAAGCCTGGTCACAGAAGGTTTCTCCTCGTTCTCCCAACCCCTCACCGTCTAGAAGGTGGCCAAACCACCCAAGCTTCTTCCTTCTAGGGATTCTAGGGTTTAGGCCTAAACTCAACAGCTCCGCACAATCGCTCTTTTCGCAAACTGGCTTGAAGGGGCTTGTAGGTCGTAGCCAGAAGCCCGGCAGAGCGGGAAGGGCACCACAGGGCAAGCAGAGGGGGAACGGCCTTCGGAGGCCGGGTGGGAATTTGCCGTGGAATAGCACGTCGAGTGCGTCGTACTGCGGCGATGACCTGTGACAGCCCGTCTAGAGAAGGTTTTTGCTTGTTTCTCTCTGAACGTCTCGCCGTCTAGGAGGTGGCCAAACCACCCAAACTTATTCCTGCAGGGCAGGGAGGGGCAGGAGCAGCGCAGGGCAGGGCGGAGCAGGAAAAGGGGCACAAACCCACAATCGCAGTCCTCTGTCGTGGTGGTTGAGACTTGAGCAGGAACGGCCTTGAATCGAAGAAGCAGTTGCGAGTTTATGGAGCTCGGACTGGGGTGTTAAGGGCTGCAGCCTGGTTTTTGTCATACTCGAGTTTTCTACATGCTGTCGCCTGTCCGATCCAAACCCTACTCCAAATCCCCACCGCACTAAGACCGCAAACCCTACAGCCCTCAAGCCCAATAAAATCCAACAAACCTGGCAAGCCCAAACCCAGACCAACGAACCATTTAACCCAAAACCTATAAACCAATGAACCCTCGACTGGGCCTGCTTGGCCTTGACGACCTGCGCCTCCTCGCGATAGCCGCGACAGCGAAAACGCGGGGTTGTCTAGTTTCGGACTGACCTAACTGATGGTACAGGTCGGAAGGACAGGACGTTTGTTCGGACTCTCTCTCTCTCTCTCTCTCTCTGACGTTGTTTAGGGTTTATGGTTTCGGGTTTGGGGTATGGGCTTTCCGAATTGAAGATATTCGAGCTCTGGGAGAACCCTAAGCCCCAAACCCTTGCAGAGTTCAAGGATTCACCTAAACCCCCCAAAAACTCAACCCCTAAACCCTAAACCTCTAAACACCTGAACCCTAAACTCATTTTGGCATCTTGGCCTAAAACTCCTAAACCCCTTTTTGCAGCAAGCCTCGTTAAACCTTAGACCCTGAACCCCTAAACCCCTAAACCCCTGAATCCTAAACCCCTAAACCCCTAAACCTTAAACCCCTCAACCCTGCAACCAGGCTCTGAAGCTCAAGAAGTCAATGCCTGTGCACCTCAACTCCGAAGCTTGGAGGGTCAAGGGTAGTTTTTATGTAGGGATTTTAGGGGTTCAGGGTTCTTTTAAGGGTTCTATAGGGTTTAGGGATTAGGGTTTAGTGTAGTTATGTGTTGGGATATTCAGGGTTTAGGGTTCCTGTAAAGGTTCTATTTGATTCTGGGATTAGGGTTTAAGGTAGCTATAATTGGGGGTAACCATAGTTATAACCCATATTAAGGGACTTATAACCCCACTTATAACTACCCATGAACCTTCAAGATATCTTCTTCAAGCTGCTTCAATAAGAAAAGACCTGAGGTCGGATATGCTGCCGTACATGGGTGGTTCTCTATTTTAAAGTCCATTTCCAGGGTCCCTATTAGAGTACGGCACCCTGAAACTAAGGACACAGAAAAAGGGACCCTAATTCGAAGAGCTACCCACATGGCTAAGATGTAACGGGGTTACTGCTTGGAGGTTCATGGATAGATATAAGTGGTGTTCTAAGTAGGGTCACTTCTGATGTAAATCCTTTCGGGATCGTCTATCTCCTAGAACCAGACCTGCCGAAACCCTTTCTGCAACTGGTCGGCTGCGAGACCCTGAACCCCTAAACCCTTATAGATCCCTTTTATGGGAGTTTCCGATAAGGACCCCAAAATGTGGTACCCGAAATGTTCGGAAACTCCTCTATAGACCCTGTACTGTAATTTAAAGACCCTTTTTTAAACCCCTAGATCCTTATAGGATCCCTTTCTAGACCCTCACCCTTACGTATAGATCCCTTGATAGACCCCCCCCTTCCACCCCCGCAAGGCCGCCCCCTTGATCCCACCTGGGAATGGCCATGACTGCCGCTTCTGGCAGGCTCTGCTTTGCTGATGTTGGCCTGGCGGTGATGGGAGGCCACAAGGGGGGGTTTAGATTCTTGGGGTAGGGATTCCTTGATATGAACCCTGTTATGGGAACCCTAATCCCTACTAAACTTTTATAGGCTAAAACCCCTTTTGGCCTCCTATGAGGCGCGGATCAAGGCAACGGGCACGGCCATACCGGAGGGGCCGAAAAGACAAAAACAGGGCTTTGGGCTGAATGATATGAAACTCAAAACAAAGAACACTAAGGAATTATATGGGTAACTATCATTAGAAATCATTGACAGGCTGTGCCCCAAATTCCAGATGACCGCCAGCAAAGTCTCGGAGCACGAAAAGGGTCAAGAGCTTAGCAAGCGTAGTGTCAGAAGTAAGGTACCTAACTTAGCAGGGGTTAGGAACGACAGAAGCTGCACTCTCCGACCTTGTGCTGCGCATGGCTGGCATTGCTTCTGGCGGCCGCTGCTTTGTGAGTGATGTTGTCCTGCGACAGAAGGGCTTCCCCAACACCCTAAACTGGCCCTTAGAGCCTAAACCCTGAGCCCGACCTAAACCCTAAACCTCAAACCCCCGACCTTTCTTTGCGTCGGGCCTTGACGCCCACCCTATGATGCCGACTTCAATCACTGCACAACATGAACCTTAGGCCCAGAGCCTGTAAACCGTGAACCCTAAAGCATGTTCAGCTCCAAGATAATAACACAATGATCCAAACTGGAATCCAAATCCCTTTTTTGCAGCAGGCCTCGTTGTCCAGCAGCCCGGTTACAGCAACAGCCCCCTTTCCCCAGCTTCTTCAAAGCAAGGAGAGGAGACGAGCTGACTTTGGATTCCTAAACCCTAGACTCTAAAACCCAAACCCTACATCATCTAATTCATCATCCCTTTGAGACATCCCCTCCAACCTGGGCGTGCGCTTGACTGGCGTTGCGTCTGGCAGCCTGTGGGCATCATCGTGATCCAACGGGACAAGAACCATGATGGAACTGGCAGTGATGCTGAGCCCAGTGGCTATGAGTTTGGAGGCTGGGGTGGCGAGTATGTGACCCGTGCGAGGATCTTCACTTCAGAACAGTATCACCTGGGAGTGTCCGAAAATGGGGACCCTAATATAGCATCCTAAATGGCAGGACCCTTATGATAAGGACCCGAAAATAAGGTACCCCAAAACTTTCTGAAACTCCCGTATCACCCAAACGCCATCCTACCCGGGAGCAATATCGAGACCAGGGCCAGCAACTACAGAGATCCTACTGTAGGGCCCTTAATAATTAGAATTGGGTTTCGGGCTCCTTTGTAGCATGGCTATGACAAGGAACCCCTAATCCCTAAGCCCTTAAACCTAAGGAATAATACTGGTAATTATTGAGGCTTCTATCGTAGTTGTGCTCAAGGTTAACGGTTTGAGGATCCTGTCTTGGAGGTTCATGGGTGGTTATAAGTGGGGTTAGGGTTTAGGGTTCCCTTTGAGGGATCTATAGGGTTTATAGGGATTAGGGGTAGTTACAAGTGGGGTTATAAGTAGGCGAACCATAAGTACAACCCATATCAGGGGACTGATTTTCCCACTTTTTTCTACCCATGAACCTCCAAGACCTCCAAGTAGGGAACCTAGAGACTCTACCAGTCTACTTCCACCCTCAAAAACGCCGAGGCTACCTCCCTGAGAACGAAGACATTCTGCCGAGTGTCGGGCAAAGCTTATTGCTTTCGTATGGCGTTTTCTGAAAAACCTGGGCATTCGCGAGTGGCCTGGGCTTTCTCGAGGGCTTGCTCCTTCTTGCGTCGAGCCTCCTCCTGCAGGCAGGCTGGGCTGCAGCTGCGAATTTTCGGACGGCCGCTGGTGATGAATGGTTCTAGATCATACGTCACACATCACTCCTCCTAGTTCCCAGACTCTCAAACTCAGCCCCTATTTAGGGTGGAGGATCGAACTACATCCCACACTTCTATACAACTTGAGAGAGGTCGAGTCATCGAGGTTCTGAATGCCAGAAGCCCTCTGTGCAGGAATCTCTGAGCCGTACAGGCCCCTAAGTCCGGGCAGTAGTCGTGCCTGCACCCGAACAACCGAAGCCTATACTCCCGTCCCGAAATGCCCGAAGTCAACCAGGGCAGAAATAGAGCTGACGGCCGCCGCCAGAAGCTCACTGACCGCATACACAGGGCTAGTTCTAATTCTCTATCTCTCTCTCTTCTATCCTCTCTCCCTCTCGCTCTTTCACTCTCTTCAAGCCAATCCCCTTCGCAAACGTGGCTGCCCTGAGCACCGATTCACGACGCGAATCCAAACGCGAAGCGGCTGGTGGTGGTACTTTAGGGGCCTTAATGATTAGAATAGGGTTTTGGGGCCCATTATACTAGAATAAAAAGAATTAAAATGAGGAACCCATTATACTGTAACTACAGTCAGGAACCCACAAAATAGTACGGGCACAGTAGATATTTGGGCCCCTGTATTACTGGACGTGTCCCGAGCAGGCTCCGCTGCCCCACTGTGCCGCGAATCTTGCTCTGCTTGGATTTTGGGCTGCGGGCGAATTTGTGGTCGATTCAGGTCGGATTTGTGCGAGTTGTTTTCCGGATCTTGGATTTCTGAAACCACGGGGATTTCGAAGTTGTTGGCAGGATTTTGGCGGAGCGGGGTCCGATTGGAAAGTTTTATCAAATTCCAGTCTCCAGGTCGCTTCTACGATTGCGATGCTTCGGGCTCGCAGATCCTCACGAATGCCTCTTACCTTCCCAGAGAACCCAAAACCCGAAACTTGAAACTCCCCCTAAGCCATGTGACAACCCTTCAAGCCCCAAGCCCGAAACCGAAATCCCGGAAAGGAGCTCCCTGAACCCTTAATGGAGCGCCGTAAAGGAGTCGCTTAGAGGAGCCCCTTGCGGCGGAGATTGCGGCCTGGGCTTTCTCCATGGCTTCTTGCTGTTTTCTCCAGGCTTCCTCCGGGCACATTGGAGCGAGACGAGGCTTTCCAGGTTCCAGGGCTTCAGGATTAGGGTTTAGGGGTTTAGGGTTTAGGGTTTAGGGTTTAGGGTTTAGGGTTTAGGGTTTAGGGTTTCAGGTTTAGGATCTCAGGCTTAGGGCTTATAGGTGTTGGGGTGTAAATCTTCGCTTCAGTGCTGAGAGTTCTGGGCTTTGGGGCTTGGGGAGCTGAGCCAGGGCTAGGGCTTCACTACACGTCTTTGGAGCGACATGCTGAAAAGGGTCGGAAGGCTCAGAAGGTAAGCATTTCTAGTATAAGCCGCTGTATACAATGTCTCGGAACCCTACAAAAGAATTGGTTTTGACGGTTTAACTAACCAGTGGTTTTGGGGTTCCTTTGGCTCTTTAGCTCCTTATTTAATAGGGATTATCATCATCCCTGGCTCCTTAGCTCCTCCAATATCAATGGTTAGTTAAGGTAGATCGTACGCTCCGCGCTTTTGTTACAACCCGCCCAGCTGGCCAAGTCGCTAGAACCGAGCAGATGGAAAACAGTGCTTGTGCAGCCACGTCGGCGGTACTCCTTCAAGCTTATTTAGGGGTTTGGAATGTCGGGATGAAAGCTATGGTTTGTTCCTTGCCCTGCAAATTCCATGCTCAGAACCACCTCATGGTATCAGTACAACGACTGCTGCAGTTCACACAGTCCAGGCGACTGCCATTTGGCAAACATCGCCATGGACTGGCTGGGCTTCAAAATGCTTTATCTCTCGGGTTCAGCTGCCTGTCTTTAATTATGTAGCCAATGTAGAAGCAGATTCTGCCTTGGGCACTCACGGATGCCTAGCCACCTTGCATTCACAAACACGCCCTGAGCCCGTACATGAGAGATTTCGGAGGCACCCGTCTTCGGGACCTTCCTCCGCGAATAATAACTGCTGCCTACTTCTCTTGCTACCTGCAAAAAACCTCACACCGTTTCTGGCGTGCTAGAGCCTGTCTCTCGGGCTTCCAGTTCGCGGGGCTTCACGTGCTCAAGGGCATTGCGCAAGGCCTGGAGGTAGCCGAAGACGTACTTGTCGTCCGGCTCGAGCGTGTGCTGCTCCGCCCAATGGTTCCAGGATCCGACGAAGAAGAGATTCTCAGGGACATGTCCTAGGCTGTTCATTAACCCACTGGGAAAAAGTATATACTTGTTTCGGGTTCGTATTCTATAATAGGAACCCAGAAACCTGAAAGTAAAGAAGTGTGCCACTGAACAGCCTGGTGTCGCTGCGGCATGGCGGTCATGTTGGCGAAAGACCCCACCAAGGCGTTCTGGAAGTCCTTCGGCGTCACGTGCAGGGCACCGCTGTTGCCATGCACTCGGCCATCGAAGCCTGTTGCAGCACCCCAGTACTGGTGCTGCTCCTTGACCAGGTAGAGGTCTCGGTCTGAGGCAACACCGCCGCAGAGGTCCCGGCAACTTGGCGCATTGTGGAAAGCTCCATCCAACAGCTCTGCCTTGTAGTTGTGCTCCTCGTAGAAACGGCGACCCACTGAGGAGAGGATGTAAAGGCCGGAGAAGCCCTTCTGCACCGCCAGGCTCCTCCAAAGCTTCAGCATGGGCTCCAGCTTCTGCTCCAGCAACTGCGGACGGAGGATGGCAAACACCGGCTTGTTGTCGATCTTCATGTAGCGGTGATCCTTGAAGTACTGCATCAGGTGCTCAAAGTGCTCTTCCCAGTGGTCACGGTCGCCGTAGGTCTGCGGGATGAGGGTCCCCGTCCCATCCTCACCCGCCTGGCCCGAGAACTTTCGCGTCCAAGGCTCGTTGGCCCAGGTGAAGAAATAGGGCAAATTGGGCTGCCCGTCGTGAAGAACCTGGTACGGGACCTTCCACATCACGCTCTTGTTATGGCCACCTTCACCCCCAAACCAGTAGTGGTAGTAGGAGAAGCCGTGCACTCCGTGCTGCTTGGCAAATTGGGCCTGGCTGCCCCAACCCTGTGTAAACCTAATGTAGAGTCCGTAAATGTCCTTAATTAATTAGAATAGGGTTTTGCGGCCTTTAGGAGTTTCATTGTACGATAAGGAACCCCCAAAAATACTGTAGGTAATCATTGAGGCCCCTATATATGAAGCCTTGGCAAACCCGAGCCTGGCGGCCCCTGACCTGGCGCTTCATCAGGTCGTAGAAGCCCAGACCTCCGCGCTCCTCGCTCAGAGGCTTCCGAAGTCCCTCGCCTTGGAAATCCTGCAGTGCCTTCCGGGTTTAGGGTTATAGAACTTTGGGGGTTTAGTTTGGGGTTTATGGCTTAGGGGTTTAGGGCTTCGGGGTTTAGGGTTTTAGGGTTTAGGGGTTTCGGGTTTCGACGCTCGCACTCGTACAAGGAAGTCAAGGCTCCACACATAGAGGGTTTAGGATTTATCCTGAAGTGCCTTCCAGTCCGTGTAGCCGTCTCCGAAGAACTTCTCCAGCTCGGGCACTTGGTGGAACTGCGGATAGTACATGGCGATCACCTTCGGGGCCGGGGGCATCGTAGCTAGGCTGCGGCCCCGAAGGCGCAGCGCTGTCGTCACGAAGCATTCCAGTGCCAGCTCCAAAGCGTGAGCTTCGTCGTTGCGCTTCTGGATCAAAGGCGCCAGCCGCGGAATGGCGGCGACGGCGGTCTTCAAAGGCTCTGCTTGTCGCCGGAGCCAGAAGCTACCACCGGCGACGTAGGTAGCCAGGTCCTCCGCTTCGTTCAGGCCGACATTGCCCGTGTTCATCAATAGCAGGGAGCGAAATCCCTTTGCACTGCCCTCGCTGAAACCTGTCCAGCTCCGGTTGCCCAAGACCTTGTTGAAGACGGAGGGCGCCAGGTGCTTTTTGCTGGTCTTTCGGTCCACGATGGTACCCGCAGGAGCGATGAGGTCCAGCGAAGGTCGGGAAGCGAAAGCGTTAAGCACCGAGCGCACATGGAAGCGCGTGCCGCAGAGCGCCTGGGAGGCAAGCTGCTGAACATCGTCTCGCGGTGACACACGGAGCTTCAAGAGGATGTCATAGTCCACACCCCCACGAGTTGCGGAATCCAACTGCATCAGGAACTGAGGCATGTCAGCCGCGGCACCCGCGGAGTTGGTGACGAAGATGTTGGCCTTGCTGTGTTTGCCCTGGACGTAGCCGAGCAACTCCTCCACCTCGTCATCGGAGGGGGCCGTGCCGTTGACAAAGTTGAGATGCACCCCAGTTGGCTCATCGGTCGCCGACAGCACCTCCTCAAGGCACTGCGAGATCTGCGAGGCCCAGTCATGATGACCGATCTGAACAAAGAGCCCAAGGCGGGCGTTCCTGGCGCGAAGGACATAGCGGCGAACTTCCGCCAGGCGGACCTCCCCTTCTTCCTGGGTTCTGGTTAAGGGATGTATATAATGTGAGCCACCATAATCAGGACTTAGCCTACAGGAGACCAGGTTATTTACTATAGATCCTTGTTAAGCTAACTTAAATTAAATGCCTTAACAAGAACCCAGCTTCGCGGTGCTCCAGCAGGGACCCGGAGCCTTCCGGAACCTGGGCGAGGATCGGAGTAAGAAGCTGGCAGAGCAGCAGCGAGCACAGGGCGAATGGACGCATTCGGTTCATGGCGAGGCCATGCAGGGAAGGGGCAGTCATCGCAACTTCCTGCGATGTCTTCTGCTTAGACAAGAAGCCCCCCTTTCTAAAGACTGACCTTTCAGCCAGCACCTGCAGCCACGTGCATAGCTCCGCAGGTTGCAGCGAGGACGAGAGACTTCTGGCATAAACGGGCAAACAAAGCACTTGCGTAAGCTTCTGGGGTTGATAACCACCCTAAACCCTAACCCCAAACCCCTATAGACCCTAAGCCACAACCCCTAATCCCTAAACCATCTATATTTTTGCAAAACCCTCAACCCCAACCCCTAATCCCTAAACCATTTTTTGCTCAAACCTTTTTCTTGCCGCTAGACTTGAAACCCCAAACCCTAACGAACCCCCAACCCCTAAACCTTACACCCCTTTAACTTCGGGTCTCGGTGCAGGCCTCCGCTTTCTTTCTCGCCTCCTCCCTTTTGCGCCGGGCTTCCTCTGCAAAGGTCAGTGGGTCACAAGGTTTAGGGGTTTAGGGGTTTCGGGTTTAAGATTTCGGGTATGGGGTTTAGGGTTTAAAGGTTTTTTAGGGTTTAGGATTTATTTTATGGTGCGCGGTACACGGACGGAGGTTGTCAGAGAGTCCGAGGTTGCTGAGTCGGCTGTTCGGTATTCATGCTTTCGTAGCATATCGATGCGTGTGGTCTTAGGGTTTAGGAGAAGGTGAGGGCCGTAAAGAATAGGCTTTACAATGCCATATTCACTCCCGCTTGATCGCAGAAGGACTCCTCAAAGAAGATGTGCGCCACCTATAAGGTGGTAGAGCTAGGGTTAATCACAGTTTCGGGCGGGTGAATTACATACTGTCACACAGCCCTCCATGAAAACGGCTGCAAGCGGAATGCTCCTCGCGTGCACGTTCTTCTCGCTCCTCTCGTTCCCTTTCCTCCTGGATGTAGATCTCCTGCATGCGATCTCTGCGCAAATCGAAATCTGACAGCAGGACAGCCTAAAAGCCCTCAGAACTCCGAAGAGGACAAAACAACAGAAGAAAGAGAGAAGTCCAACTCAAATTCACAGTATCCCTCCGAACCAATATGACAGTGTAGTCTACTTTTGTACACGATAACCGCCTGTTATAGACTATACTAGAATATACTATAACTGACAGCAGGAAAGCCAAAAAATCCCTCGCAGTCTGCTGTTCCTGTCGGCTTTCGCACCTCCCAGGGCCTACCCCCCAATGCCCCGACACTGAACCCGAAACCTGAACCCCCGAAACGTCCCAAAACCCTAAAAGATACTGCTCCCTCCCAGAACCAAACCTCAGCGTTTAGGGTTTAAGGTTTAAGTGCTTAGGGTTCAGGGGTTTGGGGTTGCGGGTTTAGAGGTTTGGGGGTTTAGGGTTTAGGGCTTAGGAAAACAAACTCCCAAAACGGGGACCCCGAATTTGATGGGAGGCCAAAAGGGGTGTTTAAGATTCTTGGGGTGGGGATTCCTTAATGTGAACCCTATTATGGGAACCCTAATCCCCACTAAACCCCCATACGCTAAAACCCCTTTTGGCCTCCTTTGAGGTGGGTGCGCGGATCAAGGCAACGGGTATGGCCATGCTGGAGGGGCCGAAAAGACAAAAATGGGCTTTGGGCTGCATGATATGAAACAACCCCAAACCCTAAACCCCAAAGCCCAAACCCAAAACCCTAAACCCCAAACCCTAAACCAAGGGCGAGTCGGCGTTCTCCTGGACGGCCTTCTTCACCCCAGAGACTTCCGACTGCGCCTCGTTCTCCTCTTCCTGAAAGGGGCTAAGATTCTAGGGTGTGGGGCTTCTAGGGGGGGTTCCTTCAAAGGGTTCCTTTAAGGGCTCTATAAGGGATCTATAGTAGGGTTCTATGATATAGAATGGATGGGGGCTAAAAGCAATTCTACTTAAAGGATCATGGGACTTAGTAACTAGGGTTCCTTAAAGGGCTCCTTTATAGGGGTTCAATTACAGGGACTACTTAAAGGATCAGGGGACTTAGTAACTAGGGTCATAACTAGGGTAACTATACTTATGACCCTAATTGAGGTACTTATAACCTTACGTCCTAAGTCCCATGATCCTCCAAGTAGGGTTCCTTTAAAGGGGTCTATAAGGGCAACTTAAGGGCTACTATAAGGATTTAGCATAGGGGCCTAAATAACTAGACTAAGGTTTTGCGGCACATAAAACTATAGTTAGAATAAGGAACCCCCCAAAATAGCATAGGAAATCATTAAGTCCCCTGTATCAATGCAATTCTTAGTTGCTGAGTACAGATCATATTGTCCGAACGACTCTACCTGGTTAGATATTTAAATTAGGGTCCCTTGTTAGGTTGCAAAATAATGAACAGCCCTTATAAAAGTACCCTAAAAGGCACCCTAACTTAGAGAACTACCCATACAGCTAAGAGCAATTTTAAATACAAAACACACCTTGTTTTGATTCGGCACTTCGGTTTCAAAAGGGTTGTAGATATGGTATTCCGTGATTCGAGGGTTCATGGGTGACTACAACTCCCGCTTTTTTGGGATTTCTATGGAGATGTTACGTGGTGCATTGAGGGGGGCTTTAGGGTGGTCCTGAGTCGAGCTATGAGCACCTTGAGCGGATTCACAGGGTTTAGGGCTTAGCTGGGACTGCGATTACCTTGCGCATAACCCCGCTCATTCGTTCACAGATCCTTCAACCGAGCTTTCTTCCGCGATAACAACGACGGAACAAAGCAAAACAACACGATGACGAAAAGGGATTGGGACGAGGATGATGAAGATGATGATGATGATGATGAGCATGATGATCACGTTGGCCAGGGTATTGGTGACGTCCCTCCCATGGCACCGATAACAACAACACTACAATAACAACACACGGCAAAACGTGGTGTCGAGAAGAGGAAAAGCAAAAATAGACTCGCAGTCATAACGCTCACAGTTGATATATGGGAAAACACAGGGCAATTGGAACCCCACGCATCGGCTAAGGGTGGGAGTCTAGTCTTGCTGCAAGATTGCAGGGGGGTTCGCTGAAATTTGAACAAAGATTGAGCGAAACCTTATCTCAGCATCAGATTTCGGATTTTGGCCACCGGAACCCGCCAACCTCCTCGAGGTCAACAGCATGCCCTGGCACTTCATCGTCCTGGTCACGCGGGCATCTCCGTCGAGAAGAGCCCAAACATTCAAACCCTGGTTTAGAGTTTATAGGGCTTGTAGGGCCCCAAATAGCCCGATAAGGTAGGGATATCGATAGCACGCTTTGTGCTTATGTCTTGTTTGGGTCCCGAAGTTTAAGCTCTTTACCTCGACGGTGAACACGAGCAACAGAAACTGAAGCTTCAAGCTACACAGCGAGACCTGCCTACTCTTTGCGGATGCGAACGACGCATCCTAACTGGCGAACGCTTTTGCTGTTCGCATGGGTCGACCCGGAGCTTGTTCTTTCATGCGTCACTGCTGCCACTTTTGAAACAACACAAAGGTTCGGAAGCCCCTTGCTACAAACCCCAAAACCCGAATTCCAAAACCCAAAGCCCTAAACAAAGCCATTAGTTTCGGGTCTAGGGTTTAAGATTAAGCCAGGAAGCAAGTCGACCAAAAGCCGTCAAAAAGCGAAGAAGCTCTGCAGCCAAGCCGAGGAAACTGTTCAACAGACCTCTCTCACTCTCTCTCTCTCTCTCTCTCTCTCTCTCTCTCTCTCTCTCTCGGGCATGAGGGTCGGTTAGGACCCCCGGGCTCTCTCTCACTCTCTCTCTCTCTCTCTCTCTCTCTCTCTCTCTCTCTGCCGTCGCATCCAGAGAGCCCAGCAGCACCAGGCACTGCGTGAGGTTAAAGCCCGAAAACTGAACACCCGTGTGCTACTAAGCTACTAATCACGACAGAATCCGAGCCGACTCCGAGCGACAGAAACACACCTGAAACACGGTCCTCACAGACGCGCGGAACTCCGGGTGCTCCCCGCCTGCTGACTTCTTCGAGGCATCTTACATAGGTGCAGGAGTTAGGAGACTAAGGACCTGAGGTTTCGGTCGAGGCTTGAGGTGCAGCGTTTAGCATTCCGGGGGCTTGAAGACGGGCGGCAGATGGTGGATAGATCTGACTCTCCGGGGAGTGGCATATTCTAGGGCTCAAGGCCAAGGCGAAAATTCAAACTTGAACTCACAGTCACGCCGTGGTGGTGTAATACCGCGGTCTTACGGAACCTAAACACTTGCGGAGCGCACCATCTTAACCTGTCCACAAACAATACTAACATATCTTCAGAGTAGCAAAGTGTACTTGAAGACTTGGGGCTCTTTACCAGCTTATGCCTGGATCTCACCACGGACAAGCCTGCAAGCACAACCCTCTTCCGGAAAGGTAAAAAGATATCTAGGAGTTTCCGAAAATTAGGGGTACCTTGTTCTGGGGGCCCTTATAATGAGGATCCTACTATATAGGGTGCTATATTCGGGTCCCCTACTTTCGAAAATCCCAAACCCTCATAGACCCCTTCCCAAAGGAACCCTTATAGTACCGTTATAGTAGCAGCCCTTTCTAAACCCTAAACTTTTAAACCTCAAACCCTAAACCGCCCTTATAGTACCCTTCTCTGAGGCCCAGGCATGTAGAGGGCTTTCGCCACTTCTTGATCCGTGGAATCCGAGGACAGCTCCGGAAACGCCTCTGGCTGCTGGACCTGGGTACGAGATCAGACCAGGGGAGATCGAGGTGTCTTGTGGAAGGCCTCTATAGGGGATCTATGGTAGGGTTTTATATTAGGTGCCTTGATAATTAGAACAGGGTTTTGTGGATTCCTGACTATAGTTATAGTATAATACACCCCCGAACCTATTCTAATTGTTAAGGCCCCGACATTAGGGTTTAGGGTTTAGGGGTATTTTCTCTGCTTGGGGCTCATTCCTCCTTGAGTTTGGGGCCGGACATGTCTGGAGAAATGTTCACTGACACAGCACTGAGGCGCTTGCCATGCTGAGAAAACACTAACTTTAAAGCACAAAGCGTTCTCTGACCTGCACAAATCTGTCCCGCTAGACACCAGCAACTCGTGTGCGAGTCCTACTCAAGCCACAGCACCACCGAGGAAAACATCCGCACGAATTCTGGTGGTGGTGGTGCACTAGTGGCACCAGTAGCACTGGTCACTGGTAGGACCAGTACTTGTAGTACGTGCAAAACACGCAGTACCTATAGAACTTGTAATTGTAGAGTGGCAGTACTGGTCGTCGTCGTAGTTAGGAGCAGGAGCAGGAAGAGGAGGGAGCAGTAGCTTTAGCGCTAGCACTCTGTACAGGTGGTAGCAACCATGGCAGAGAAAGCAGTATCGGTAGGTAGTGGTCGTCGTCTTGGTTGATGGTGGTGGTGGCCGTTGCTGTTGCATCACCTTGCCGACACGATAGTCTCTATAACCGTCCAAAACCTCAAGCCTAAACCCTGTATGCCCCTTGCCTGTTCTTATTCCAAGGCCGAGGCCATCTGCTTGCGGCACTCGGCGATGTGATTCATGCCTCAAGCCAGAGGTCGACATACGGCTTTGGGTTTTCGGCGTTGGCCTTCGAGTTCGCGCTTCATGGTTTAGGGTCTAAGGTTGAGGGTGTCGTCTTTGAGGTTCCACTTTGAGGTTTGGGGTTGCCACGCCCATGTTTCTTTTGCTAATGAAGAAGGACCGGAAAACTGTTCTGAATCAAAATTACCTTCTGGATCTTAGTGGCGTGGTTTCTGCGGGGATTCTGCAACCGAACCGAACACCGGCATGCAGGCCGGTGCAGAGTCTGGGTACAGAATAACGAAAGCACAGGAAAAGACTTGCAGGTCCACGCAAGTGTAACAGGTGTTGAAATCAAGGCTCTGAGTTCGATGACGCAAAGGTGACAACCAGCCACTACTGCAAACAAGATCTAAAGTTTTGGCTTCAAATTTTCAGGTAGGATCTAGCGAGCAACACCGCTGTACGATTTACACAAAGATGCATGGCAGCATCCATCAAAGGGTAAAAGGAAGGACCCTTAATAAGGACCCCTGCGAATATAATCTTAATATACCTTTTATATAGCCATTATATAGCCCATTACGGGGCAGGGATCCCCATTAAGCGTCCCTCCTTTTACCCTAAACCCCTAAACCCTAGCAAAACCCTTTTTTTGCCACTGGACTCAAGTCTAGCCAGTCTACGACCCAGTCAAACCCTAAATAAACCCTAGGTATAAAACGAAATAAAACCCGCCTCAGGCTCGGCTCTACTTGCCCAAAAAACCCTTTCTTGGCCCCACGTGACGTGGATGCCCTTTGCTGAACCCAGAGACTCCAATATCCCCTAATTTCAGGAATATACCTTAAATCATACTTAAGGGATATTGGAGTCTTTAGGAACACGGCAGAAGCAAAGCTCAAGCGATAAGGCCGCGGCCGGGGAAGCTGGGCGTGAAGGGCACACAGGCTTGCTCCTTTTGAGTCAGGAACTTTTTCACGGCGTGCGGGTTAAATGCAGGGCTTGTGGCCGGGCCTAACATGGGTCTGTACGAATCCCTTTCCTGGATCTGTGTAAAATTGATGTTGGATTTTGGGGGTACTCACCTCAAACTTGTCCCAAATGTCTCAACGATTCGCCTCTCGCATTCACTTATGTGTATCTGGTTTAGGATTTGGGATATTGTGGATCTAGATCCTCCATCGCAAACTGCCCGGCCACTCGACGCGCTGCAGAAACTGAGGTTCTGGCCATTTTCAAGCAGGGGCGCGGGCAAAAGTGCATGTCTCCATTGTGATAATATGCCTCGGGGCTTAGGTTTGGGGCTTTTCGGGCTTGAAGGTTTATAATATGCTTCTGGGCCTAGGTTTAAGGCTTTCGTGCCTCCTGCATGGCTGAGGAGTCACCTGGAGGGTTTTAATATTGCGGGTTTTGCTTTATGGAGCTAGGCTTTGTGGTTTCGTCTTAGAGCGCTCTCACAACTCGGACTTTACCAGTTGCTTGCATTGAGGTCTCCGGGTTCCGGGTGCGGAGTTTCGGACTCGAAGGGTTCCGGGTTCATGTGAGAACCTAATCAAGAAACCCTGGGCCTATAACCCCAAAATAGTAGGATCCATAGAAGGAAGCCCAAAAAAAATGGCCCAAGGTTTCTTAATCAGGTTCCTACCTTAAGGGTTTAGGCACGAAGTTCTCGCCCTCCCCCAAAGCCGCACAACCACGCAACCCCAAACAGCTCTTTCGGGCTTGAGATGGGACTTTCCGAAAGTTAGGGGTACCTTTAAAGGGATCCTTCAGGGGTTCCTTAACGGGATCTATAAGGGTTCTATAAAGGGCTTAGGGTTTGGGAGTTTCCGAAAATTAGGGGTACCTTATTTTGGGGGCCTTATAAAACATATCCCAGTATTTAGGGTACGATATTAAGGTCCCCTATTTTCGGATTCTTCCGGATGCAGAGAACCCCAGAAGCCGCCTGGAAGGCGCTGTACGTGGAATGCACGGAAAGGCCGATGTAGTGCTCAGGATGCTGCGCCTTTTAGGGCTTACGCTCTCGCAACTCGGACAAAAAGGCTTAGGGTTTAGGGTTTAGGGCGCCGGGTTCGGGGTACCCTAAAGTACACCCCTAACGCCCTTGAAGGCTTCAGGATCCAACATCGATCCTATTCCATCTTAACAAGTACCACCTCGCCCAAAAAATGAACAAGAGAATGACCCAAACTGCCAAAACTCTCCGAGCCCCGTAGTAAGGAAGATGCCCGAAAACAAAAAAAAAAAAGCTGCCAGCCGCAACGCTCTCCAGCAGGGATCTGAGCCTTAATGTAGGCGCCTTACTTGGAGGATCATGGGACTTAGTAAGTAAGGTTATAAGTACCATAATTGGGGTTATAAGTATAGTTACCCTAATTATAACCCTAGTTACTAAGTCCCATGATCCTCTAAGTACAAAGTAGAATAGTATGGGCGACTTTAAAGTACAACTATAACAAGTCAGGAACCCTTAGGAAGAATATTGGTCACCCTAAGGAAATGTAAGGAACTACATTGGTAATTATTTGGGCTCCTATGTTATTCCATCTGAACCACCCCAACGGCTGAAACCTTCGAACACCAAAAAGCCGCTGCGCCCTGAAACTCCAAAGCCCTGAGCATCTTGAACTCCTGAGCATACTACGTTCTACTATACCATAAGTTATGTTATGTATTATTGGATCAGGTTCTATTTGACTGGGTTACGCCACAGCGTATTAACATCTTGAAACATCCTGAAGACGAAAAGCCCTAAACACCTCGACCTCTCTCCAGGGCTGTGGCGAAGCCGTGCGTCATGGCGTGAAGGATGGCCTTGCCGCCTGGCTTCCACTGCTAGAGTAGTAGTGTAGGGGCCTTCAATTAGAATAAGCTTGCTGTCACAATTCTATAAGGTCTTTGTAAGATTCTACACTAAGGGCTCCAAGGTATTTGAAGCTTTGGGTTCTGGGTACACCGAATTCAGGGCATTTAGGACCGAAACTCCAGTTTACACGGTTTTGGGTTTCGGTTTCCGGCTCTTTGACTGGCGTTTTGCACATCGGGGATGGGTGTCTTTGTGGGCGGCCATTGCTGTCCAGTTGATGCAATCTGTATGAAGCATCCCGAGGAAAGTCGAGGACTGGACACCAGGATTTTCCGAAGAGCTTAGCTGCACTAGGAGGTTCATGGGTAGCTATAAATGGGGTAAAAAGTAGGGTAGCCGTCATTAAAGCCGACGCATAACCCCACTTATACCTACCAATGAACCTCCAAGTCGGGTTTAGGTTTAAGGGTGAAGGCTTCGGCCGGTGAAGGTAAGCTTCCGGCTCAGACTGCAGCAATCAGCCGGGATGGCATGGTGAGCTCGTCGGCATGTTGGCACATTGCAGCCTCGGAAAAGGCAGGATGAAGGGTTTAGGGTTTAGGGTTTCGGCGCTCACACTCGGACAATCCAGGCGAGGCATGTGGGGCATGTGGAGGGGTTTAGGGTTTAGGGTTTAGGCAGGCCACGTAGCCTTCAACTTCCACCGCTTCCAGACTCCCACACAGAAGACATTCCTAAGTCCCAAACCCAGACTCCTGAGGCACACACCCCTGACCCTAAACCATCTTCAACTCCTATTCCCGAAAACCCTCACAGCCCTAGAGCCTTTTCTCCTCCCGCTGATAGCATCCACAAGCTTCGCTGGCTCATCGAACTCGCCGCACAAAATGCTAAGCCTGAGATGGCCCCTCGCTCCCCCAAAAACCCCAAACTCCTGTCAAGCTTTAAGGTTTAGAGTTTAAGGTAAACCCTTCATTCTAAACCCTAAGCCCTTTCTAAACCTCTAGTTTAGAAGCTTTTGGGCTTTCCTGGAACCTATAAAACCTTCCTTTCCAGGGCTCCTTATCCTGATTTCGTTACATCAGTCCTTAAAAAGGTAGGTTCTTTAGGGTCCTGGTAGACTTTAAGGTGAACCCTCATTCCGGATGTTCAGAACCTCTTCGAGGTGCGAAGGCTTTGTCGCCTCCAGTCCCCTAAGGCCTCCGGCACATATTGAGGACGCGCATTTGAGGGCTCCTCTCTGCGAAGAGTAATGCAAAATTCTATAGGATGATAGGTTCCATGTCGACAGGTCCTTCTAAGCAACCCAAAACACGTGGCGCTGAAGCCTGAAGCCCTAAAACCTTTGACCACTACAGCCCTTCATCTGTAAACCGCTAAAGCTTAAAGCACCGCATGCTCCCCAGCCTAACACCTAAACCTTACAGCCCTCGATGCTCCCCAGGCTTGGAGGGGGCGTCAGCCTTCCGCGCCGATGCGGCCCGGGACGTCACTCAGTCGTGCGAGCCTTCTTCTTCAAGGGCTCTGCCAAGTCCGCTTTCTGCGACTCTGCCTCGGTTTTGCCACGTGTTCGTATATGGGTGGTTGTCAAAATTAGGGTCCCTTTCTGGGGCCCCTATAATTTTACGGCACCTAATATTTAGGGTACCCAAGAAGGGACCCTAATTTTGACAACTACCCATATATCTTGGGTTAGGGGCTTAGGATTCGTTTGGACTTGTTTGTATGCTGATCAGTACATGAAAGCGGCAACCAAGCCCTAAAAGGGGACTAGAACCGAGAACCTAAACCAGAGCGGCGGAGGGTAAGGAAGGCATGAAAGGGCACACCAGACAGGTCTTCAAGGGACTCGGAGGATGCCACACTCTAAACCTTCTACCTTTGGTTAGCAGGGAATAAAGCTCCTTTAAAGGGATCTATAGGGGTTTCTATAGGGTTCCTTTAAAGGGATCCTTACCTTTGGTTCGTAGGGAATAGAAGAATGGTAGAAAGAATAGTTATAAGTGTGCCCGCTTCCTCCATTCCCTACTAACCAAAGGGAAGTCTACACCTTGAACCAATAAACCTCAAAGCCGAAACCGTTCGGGGCTGGCGCCTGGAAGAAGTCTTCGCCAGGCATGAAGCTCAAGCCATCCACGTGGCCGCCAACCGCCTAAGCCATGTTGGGATATTGGGAGTTGCCGAAAATTAGGGGTACCCTATTTTGGGGGTCCTCTAATAAGGATCCTACTATTTAGGGTACCATATTAAGGTCCCCTACTTTCGGAAACTCCCATGTTGGGAGTAGGCCTAAGGAAATTAATGGTGGGTAGACCCCTGCAGTAAATTTATGGTACTTGGAGGATCATGGGACTTAGTAAGTAGTAAGGTTATAAGTACCTTAATTGGGGTCATAACTATAGTTACCCTAATTCTAACCCTAGTTACTAAGTCCCATGATCCTCCAAGCAGTACACTAGCCCAAAAAAGCTGAACCTTTTCGATTATGATCGGGTTATAATGTTAAAAAGGATACCTACTCAGCCCCTATAAGGTTTAGTGTTAGTTTCAACCCCCTTCGACCACCGGCCCTGCTGGCACTGCTGCAACCCGAAGAAAGCTCACGTCTGGAGACGAAGCTGGCTGCACTAAACTGAGCCGGAAGAGCGCACTTCTTCGTCCGTCCTTGCCTTTGTAAAGTTATTTCCAGCCCCTTAACCCCTATTGCATCCAGGCCTAGTGCGACTGCCGGGTACCCGAAACCCGAAACCCGTTAAAACCCTTCATCCTCCAACCCCCAGACCCGTAACACGAGCCTGCACGTGCTGGCAGACTCCAGCCACCAAGTCCCCAGACTGCGCCGGGAAGATGGCAAAGGCTGAGTCATCATCAACCCATCGAATCCTCTTGTGAGGCCGCTTGGGATTTCGGGCTTCAGGTCTGTCGTTTAGGGTGTGAGGGTGTGGAGTTTTAAAGTTTTAAGTTTTAGGGTGTGGGACCAGCGCTGCCTGTCCTAAACTTGGTTGAAAGTTTAGGGCCTAAGGTTCTCCCCTTAACATTTTAAAGGGACCCAGTGGAAGGTAGCCTTAGCCGAGGCAAGAGTCTGGAAGGCATCGCTACTGTCCAAGGTCACCTCCATGTCAGGTTCCTCCGGCTTGGCTTTGAGTTTCTTCAGGATGCCCTGAAGAATTTCCGTAAACTCCGTGGCATTACGGCCCGTCAAGCCCCTGGTGTGTAGGTAGGCACCATCCGTAACGAGTTCATCCTCCCCCTCCAGGTTGACGTTGAAGAAATTTCGGAACATTACCAGACGGCCCTTGAATATCTTCTCGCCGTCTCCGGCCGGTACATGCTTGGCCATGTAAGCAAATGCGCCTTGGCGTGTGTGAGAATTCTCTCATTGCTGCGGTTCTTTCCTAGCAAAAGCTTCTTGAACTCTCACAACCGAAAGCTTTGAGGAGATTTTTGATCACCAAAACACATCCGGTAATGTAGGCATCAAAGCCGGCTTCATGGTAGGAGGCGGCCGTCGCATACCTCTCCTGGACTTTGAAGCAACTAAGGGGGGAAAAGTATAGACTGCTATTTCATAATAGTTCCTTTAAGGAACAGGTACCAAAAAAGTATTCAAGTATGGTACTCCAAACCCAGGTCTCGTGCCCCTCTGCCAAAGCGATCTCTACCGAATCCTTGCCGTCTGCCCTTTCGGCCTCTGCCTCTTCTCGCAAGACTCGATGGACCTGTTGAAGAACGTCTCACAGAAATATAGGGGTCTAAACAAGTACCAATACTATTCTGGTAGTTTCCTTATTTGAGCTTTAGTATTATGTGCCCAAAAAACCCTATTCTAGTTATTGAGGCCCCTATAGTAGGGGCCCTGACCCGTAGTGCTCAATCCCTTGTAGTCGCAACTCGATTGTCGCATCTCAAGTCTCACGCCAAGCCCTACACCCCGGAAGCCCCAACCTGCTGACCGAGGGATAGCCGAGGCTTCCCAGGGACTCCAATTTCCCTTACTTAAGGAATATTCCTTAAATCATATTAAGGATCCTAATATAATTTAAGGTATATTCCTTAATTAAGGGGTATTGGAGTGTCTAGGTTGAAATCCGAAGACCATTCACCCCTAAAACCTGCTTCGAACCCAGAGTCAACCATGGACCCAGAACCTACCCCCCACAAACGGAAGTGTAAGCACTAAACAAACAAGCAAATGCATATGCAAATGCATGCACATACACATCAACATATCAACGAATATACATATACACATGTGTACACCCATACATACACACACATATGTACATGAACATATGTATGTTCGTACATACACACGCACATATACATATACACATATATAAATCTGCATACACACATACACATCTGCACAAGGCATCTACACACACATCTAACCATATACGCATAAACGATCATGCATGTATGTTTCTATGTGCCGGTGTTCATTCATACCTCCCTCTTCCTCTGTCTCTGTGTTCCTGAGTACGTGCCGCACAACCTGGCAAGAAGCCTGCCCCAGCAGTGCACGGAGGCTTTGGAGGGATATAGTATATGTAAACTGTATTATGCTCCACTATATTGTAGTGTACTACTAGTGTACTGCATTGTATTCTGTTCTATTCTGCTCCATTGCGCTGATATATATTATGCTATATTGTATTCTGTTTCGCGTTGAAATGTGAAACTAGATGGGTATAGTATGTGATATTAAATTACATGACATTCGACAACAGAGGAAAACATCGTTTAAGGAAAAAGGATGAAAAAGTATACACCATGCATATACTACAATTTACTAGTAAAATAACGGAAATTTGTAACATAGTTAGAAATAAAAATACATGGTAAAAAAGAATAGGAACACATAATAGAATGCAATATGATAAACGCACACACACACACACACACCTTTCTATTGAAGGTTGCTATTGATTTTTTGACTTGATTCAGTACTAGTATGTTTAGTATTATCGTAGTGGTAGTAGTATTACTATTATTGCTATTAATACTTTCATTTTTATTCATGTTCTTTTTATTCCTTTTATTCTTAGTATTATTCATATGAGTCGTTTTCAAAATTAAGCACCGACCCCTAGGTTAGCCGCACCCGCGATACTCCGCGCCTCGCCCAAGGCGAAGCTCTTGAAGCGCTGTTGCAATTCCCCTCTGAAGGCTTAGGGGTTTCGGGCTCAGGGTTTGGAGTGTAGGGCTTCTGTAGGGTTTAGGGTTTAGAGTTTAAGGCTTCGGATTTAAAGTTTCCGGCGCAGGGTTTCGGGTTTTGGGTTTTAGAGTTAAGGTGTAAAAAATTGAAGAGTTTAGGTTTGCGGGTTTCGGGTTTACAGTTTAGGGCTTGGAGTCTAAAGTTTGAAATTGGGATTGGCGGCTTCAGCAAAATTATGCAAGATTTCCGGCGGGCCGAGGGTGGTCTAGGGCTCAGGGTTTACGCAGGTGTCTTTGGGTTTAGTCAGGTTTCTGCAATTGAAAAATGAGGGTGTTGAGACGGCATCTCAGCTTCACGACTCTGCCCAAAGCATAACTCTGACTCCGAGAACCCAAAACAAAGTGTTGACCCTGGTATCACGATTTGGGGTTGGCCACGGTGTGCATTATGTCGAAGCTGTTTTGGGAGTTGCCTGCTTTCTAGGTACATCTAAAAACCCAAGAATGTCGAAGCACCAAACTCTGACTCTTGGACTCTTGGTATCTCTTGGTTTCGCAAGGCCTCACCTGAATCTGACTTGAACTTCAGGACGTCGCTTCTCGCAAGCAGCTGCGTGTCATACACGCTCGGGAAAAGGTCGCATACAGACTTCTTGAAGTCTGAGAATGACTCGGGCAGGGGCCCCTCGAAATGAGAGAAGGCGAACATCAAATCATACAGGCCTTGGCTGACTGTTGAACCCCTGCTAGAGGTTAACCTTTTAGCCTACATATTTCAGCTCATATAGAAACACAAAAAGTTAAAGCACTAAGAGCCAACCAGAAGAACGCCAAGAAGCAGGCATGGCCGATAATCGGCTTCTTGGAGTCCGCAAGCGCAGCAAACACCCGTCGGACACCTACTTTCATGGTAAATTCTGCTTCCTTCTCTGCCCTGATCTTCGCGTCCCGCTCCGCCTTCTCAGCTGCTGTAAGCCTCAGTGCGACCATCGTAGATAGACCACGGATCTTTGTGGGTCGGGACTCCACAGCCAAGTCGGGAAAACTTTCCCGCAGTGTTTCGTGCATAAAGCGGCGCAAATATGCATTGCAGGTTATGATCTCAAACTCTTTCTGGTCCTGCTGTGCCTCGTCGGCCAACCAATCTTTCAGGCTTTCAATGGCCTTGCCAGTGTTCTCAATGTCGAAAGTGCTCGTCAGTTGGATGCGCTTTGTCGCCGGGCTCGTATTCTCCTCCGGAAAAAGCTGTAGCTTCAGCTTTGCTGCAGCCTCTCGTGTCACGTACGGAACTCCTTCTCGAATCCAGGAATTCCAATCCATACCGTTTTTGGAATTGAAGTGAACAGAACTCGCTTCCATGTTAATGGCACCGGTTTCTGGGAACGTATAGAAGTTGTAGGCATGTGCGACAAACTTGCTATCATTGCCTGCTTCTTTCGTAAACAGTGCCACACCGAACTGTATGATACTGTACTTGGAAGCAACCTGTCTCATCTTTGAATAGCGTGCGCTCGGGGCATCACCCACAAATTCCTGAAGGCCTGGCAGAAAAATGCCAGTCATTTCCTCATCGATGGCCACGAACTCGACAGTCGGCAACAGGCGTTCGATCTCTGCTGTCGCGTCTGAAAAAGTGCTCTTCGTGACATTCATGGCGCGGAGCACCTACGGCGACCTAAGTCCTAAGCTTTTTTTCTCTCCGGAAAAGCATGCGGCTTTGCGGAGTCCTAAATATGGGCATCTCGCTGGACAATCAGAAAAGCATGATACTTCCTGAGCTCTTCGGGGTATGAGGTGAAGGGGTATGAAGACATAAGGAAGCTTTGGGAAAGGAAGTGCTCCATTCCTATGCGATGAAACACCCCGCCACGGCATATAAGGTCGCGGCCGTGCTAATAGCAAACTGAGCTCATGTCTCCGGTTTCGCACGGACAAGGACATCTTACCATAGCACTTGATGCTTAAGTGTCGGCAAACCATGCAAACCGCGTACAAGTACAGAGTGCGACGCTACTGTATGTACTGTGGCGGTTTAAAGGAACAGCACAACATCGTCACACCGCTATGCGCACTTGCCCTGCCATGACTGCGGGTCCTGCTCAAGGTTATGGATCGACTCTAGAAGTCAACCTCATTCTGCAACGATACAGAAGCGTCGCGATGCTCACTCAAGGCACGCTACCATGTGTCGGTGCAATGGGATGACTCGCCTGCACACGGGTTCTTTATAGTACAACTGGCCGACTGGCCGACAAAGCCTGCCTGGGATCGCATCACATGCATGGCATCCCCGACTTCTCGCAGTTTCCACACTGTCTGGTTCAAGCCCGAATGATTTCCCAAACTCTGGACCTGTGGGGCAACACAACTGCGATCTTGTGAAATGAAAATGCGCAGGCATAGATTGGCATATGCTGCCGCAATCCGTCCACGGAAGAATCCTGGCCCGAAGTTGCATGACACCAAACTACCACACCAGGGGTCGCACGTGGGCTGCAGCAGTACCTGAAGTTTAGATGCATGGAAACTGTCAGAATGTTGATCATGTTGATCCTTCAGAGAATGTATTGGGGGCCGTGCCATGACACATATCCATCGTCCAACGGAAACACCTGAATTTTCAGCAAACAAGGACTGGTGCCGCAATCCTTTCTCACAGCAGCTTCTGAGTGACACGCGGCTGTAAAACCGTGACATTGACGAGTGGGCCATGGCTGCACACAAGCTGGAAGCCAAAGCTTGCGACATTCCATCACACACCACTATTAGCACCGCATCCGACCCCGCAAGATGGGCATGGACGGAATCCTTCTCGCGACCACGTGCGCATGATATTACAAATGAACTTTGTCGCGGTACCGCGGCACCGGCAACCGACGCAATAGTATAGTGTTTTCCCCTCGCCGCGCCCTGCCATGGCAAGCCTCATGCCATCAAATCAAGGCAGGAGGTGGCGAACGACGATCGAACAGCCCGAACAGCTGCAGGATTCTGACACCATTATGACAATTATGACTGACACTTCAAAAGCTTGACGCGTTGCCAGTTGCGATGTGACCGTTGTTCCTGTGTTCCTTTGCGCTTGTTCCCGTGCTTGTCCTAGCCGCTGTTGTCCCCCTTCGCCTCTTTGTCCCGTCGCTCGCCCCCTTTATCCCTTTCTTTGTCCTTCCCCCTTGTCCCCCTGTTGTCATTGCTTGGCATGGTTGTTCGGTGTTATTCCCCTTCTCGCCCTGCTTTGTCCTCCCCTCCTGCATTGTTCCCTATCGTTCCCCCTCCCTTTTGTTTTTGTGCCCCTTCACTTCTCCTCTTATTTCCTCCATTTTCCTCCCAGAACGCCTTGTCCGGACCGTGCCCTCAAAGCCAGCAAAGCAAGCGCCTTTAACATCCTGTACGTAACCCTGACAGCAAGATCCCGCAAGCATGACGCACTAAATTCAGGAACCATCCGAGCATTGCCAAGCACTAAAATCCTAATGTCGTTTCCCGATTAAGATACCCCCCCAGATTAGACGGGGCCGTCCCGGGCATGTCATGGGCTTAATGAAGTCCATTAGACCCCACCCTAATAGTACCGGAGCTCGCCTAAACCCCCCCCGATTAGACGGGGCCATCCCCGAAAATCCCCGAAGTAAGGGTTTAGGGGATTTAGAGGCTTATGACTTAACCCTAAACCTCAAACCCTGAACCCTAAACCCTAAAGAACTCATGATGGCAGACTTTTCCTCATTTGACCAGCTCATGTCCAGCACAGCTGAGCTTGTACTTACGACTGCAATACTTTACCAAGTACTCTCTATCTACTTACTACTATACTTAATAATTAACCCCATCCCCACATAATCGGGGGGGGCCGGGAAAAACTTGAACCCATGAACAAGTTCAAGCGGGCTAACCTTGACAGCGGAGGGGGGGGGTTGTTAATCTGGATCAACATTAATCACTGTGAAACACTTTGTCCCCTCGTCCTCGCTCTTCCCTCCTTTTCCCCCCCCCCTTCGCCCCCCTTTTCCTTGTCCCCCTTTGTCCCTCTGTCGTCCCCCCTGTCCCCCTCCCTCTTGCACCCGTTGTCCGCCTTCACCCCTTGTGTCCTGGCGCACTGCCGAAATTTCGAGGCGCGAATCCCCACCACACAACCTTTTTCACACACGTGTTGGGGAACTCTTGCGGGACCACTGCTGCGTCTGCACGCAAGTCGGAGAGTTGGTCAGTTGGTCGCGAGGGCCCGGTTTTTTTCCCGGCCGTCAAGCCGGAGAGTCGTAAACTGCCAAACCCAGTGAGCTGGCTTAATGCATCTACGGCCACCCCTAGTGCACTCGCACCAACCTGTTGGATCGCAGGGCGAAGTGCTGGAACCGGCACGGGCCCATGTGGTCGGGAGGTGGTCGCGCGGGGCGGGCCGCTCACGCAACAGCACCCGACGTCCGCTCCGACGACCAGCGCCGCCTGGACCTCGTCATCCACGTCGCGTCGCCTGTCGGCGGGAACACGGCTTTGCATCGCTTTGCTCTCGGGTCAGCTTGGCTGGCCACGAAGGCCCGTCCGGCCCGACACGACAAACCTGGCGGAGCCTGGTGAGGCGCCAGGGCTGCTAGCATCACGGTTCTTGCGCTTGTAGTGTTTTTCCCTCTGCAGAAGCGGTCCCGACCCGCAACTACCTACAGAGGACCCTACCCTATTGTACTTCGAACCCCCGCTGGGGGCGCTACAACTGTTTTCTGCGAATTGGCAGGCGACTGTGCCTTTCTGGGTCCGCGAGGTCGCGAACGCGGTCCAACTCTGGGCCGACAAACTAGCCAAGGTGCAAAGGGGCGGGCCATGCCGCCATGCCTGTCCCAGAGCGGTGCTGGCCGCCTCCAGGCCGGCCGCACTGCGGAAATCGAATTGATGCCGCTCCCGCGCCGCCGGTTCACGTGCTGCTGCGTTCCCAGTTCTGGGCCGCGCATTGCCGTGTGGCTCGGCGCTGTTTCCAGCAAAGCCGACGGCCGACACAACACCTTGCAGCCGGACCGCATGCTCTTTGCTTCTTGGCGCCGCCTGCACCTGCCAGTCCCTGTCGCACCGGGCAGGTGCGGTGGTCGCAAACCGCAAGTTGGCACTGGCAGGGCGCAAAGGACGTTGGTTCACAACTTCCAATGCACATGCACACTATTAATGCACACCCTCTCTTTGCAATTCTAGAGTCCGACAGCTGTTGTATTGTGCACTGTTCGAAAATGTGTTCAGAGCCGAGTCATCGCAGCCGCCTGCGGCTCGGAATTCCTCCCGCGGGAATACCGCGCACACAATCACCGCACCCGACAACGTTCCAGAATTTTCACCTCGCTCTGCATCACAAGCCCGCCGAAGTGGCATCGGGCCCAAATGTTTCCCCATCATCATCTCCATAGAGCCGCAACCATGCACGGGTTATGCAGCCAAAAGAAGAAAGAATGGCCTCACTCAGCCAGAGCACAGCTGAGTAAAGAAGGTTTTGGACTGGCACCAGGCCAGGTGAGCACGACATCCAGGTTTGGTGCAGCGAATGCGGCCATCCCGAGCCGTAGGCTCTGGAATGAGGTGCAAGCGGCGCGCCTCAGCAGTCTCATTATGCTGCCGCACACGGCGTTTACGCCAGTTCAGGGTGTGTTGGGCAACAGCAACATCTTGTGGACCTTCATCGGTCATGCCTCCACAAAAGCGCTGCTGCCACTTTCGCTTCCACCCTACAAAGTCGGTTGTCTCTTGGCACTTCTCACAATGCAGCGAGTCGTCGCCTTTGCCTTGTGGTCCATAGAAAGGGGCGAGTCGGTGCCACCCTTTACTATCAGCATCCCGATTGTGCAACAAACGCTTTTGTTCACGGGAAATCTGTTTTTTGCTCAAACCGGGTATGTGATAGGGCTGAGTTGCGTCCCAAGGCACTTGGTCCCGGACCTCTTGAACATTAGAGGGCTGACGCTGAGGCTCATGAAGGTTGGGCAGGTGCTCAAGCCTACTGCTTCTAGCATCTGGTCTCGGGGGTCGGGGTAGGTCTAGCGAGACATGTGGGTTCCACAACGCCTCGCCTATCTGCCCAAACTGCGGTATAAAGGCAAGCTTACTGTTATTTTGCAAATGATCCAAGGCAGCGTGATACAACACCCTATTGACAACGTCACGGCGCAGCAACAAGGGCCTCATAGGAAAGCCACCTGAGTTGGGGAGACCCAAAGGGGTCAAGCTGCGGGCGAAATTGTTCGTAAAAGGATCAACTGGAGCAAGCGAATCTTGGCACATGACCGCCATGCGCCTGGCAGCTGACGCGAAAAAGATAGCTCTCTTACCGGCTACCTCCTTCTCACCACTGCCGCCAGATTGGCAGAGTTCCATGTGAGTACAAGCCTGGAAGTCCAGCGCCAATTCGAGCCATGTGACATGTTCTCCGTTGTAAGCTTTCAGGTCGTCCATTTGGGGCCACTGAAGCTGTCTAAAATACCAGATCAAAGGCTCAAAAAGTGCCCAAATGTTTCCCGAATCTGTGTGTGAAGATTTTCCCGTTGCGACATCAATCTGCACTTGGCGTGCATTGAGCTGAGTTTTGCTGAATTTTCGAGGGCCATCGCTGCGTACGCACAGCCTGGACGGCTGTGTTGCCCGCCATCGCAACTTGGAGCACCCATGCCAATGTGAGTCAATTGATGTTTTTTTGTTGTTTTTCCACACTCCTGTTTCCGTCCACACCTTGGTCACCACTAGGCGCCGCTAGGAGCTCGCCCAGCGGCAGCTCGGCGCCGTCGTTGGCGTCGCAAGGCTGGACCGGCTTTTCCAGTAAGCTCTGGGCGCGCGCTCGCAACGCCGCAAGCGCCGCGAGGGCCGTCCAACATCACGTGACCGCGGCCCTTGCGGCCGCGCCCACGGTGCTCGGTCCCTGGCGCGAGCCTGAGCGAGTCGTCAGCGCCAACGCTTGGCTGTCGAAGCGCCCGCCTACCTCGAGTCCGAAAACCACCAAGCGACAACGGCCGTGCCCGCGTGGCTGGAGCTCGGCGTGCGTGCGGAGCTTGCGCGTCTTGGCTTGTAGAAGTGCCAGCGCTGGCCTCGCATCGGCCCCGGGTCGCGTGCACCCGTGTTTTTGCATACTTTTTTGTTTCTCCCCATTTCGCGCATTTTCGCGCCCGGTCAGCGGGTACGGATCGGCCCGTCGGCTTCTGCGAGGTCGAGCACCCGAGGCCATGGCTGCCCGAGGGCTGTGCAACCGCCCGATGCACTGCGACAGACAGCATGCCCCACCTGCGACGCGTCCAGCCTCAAGCCGCAACGGCCCGTCGCTGGCGCTGGGGTTAATAGACGCCCAGATTCGCGCGAAGTCGGTCGAGCGGAGGGCCGTCCACGCTGGTGGCATGCGGTGGCTGGGGCCACGGCTGGCCAAGGGCACTGCTGGCAACCGCCTACTGCACTGCGACAGACAGCATGCCCCACCAACGACGCACCCAGCCTGAAACCGCTGCGGCCCGTAGAGCCGGCGGTGCTCTGTAAAACCATAGTCGAACCAGGTCTCGTACCAAACGGTGCGCATCGCTGTTGAAGCGCCCTTAGACTTCGCTGCCAAGTACGACGAGCTTCTAAAG